CCCACTTCATCAGAGTGGAACTCCCATCTTTTCATGTGCTGTGTATTTATACCTGCTGCTATATTTTCCACCCCATGCATGGGCTACCCTTCTGATTCCTAGTTCAGACACAGTTACTAATATGTCCAAATGTAGAAAATATCTGCCATTGACATTACTTACAAAGGCACTTTAAGGCATTCTCTGCATAACGAACCATATATCTGTCAGTCCATCTACCACGGACACTGTAAGGATGGCAATTTAATACTCAAGAAGTGCATTTTCTTGTTGGAGATTAAATGTTTTGGCAAGTTAAAGGCGCTGCCGTGGACTGAGCTGTCGCCTAATTATGTCAGTCTCTTTGTGGGATGTTTTGATAAGTACATCACAGGAGCATCTTTAATCTTCATGCTAAATCTGATCACTGTGTCCTAATTCCATGTACAAACAGTCCTCCAGCTGAGACCTTGAAACATATAAGAATACAAATTGCAGTTACCAGTTACAGGAAAAACCTAACTATTTTAATACAGTCTTTTATGCTTTCAGACAATTTTTGAGGAGAGGCCCCGTTGTCCAGTGGGCAAGGTGCAGGACTGGGAGTCAGGAGACATGGATTCTTTTTGCTAGCTCTGCCACTGACCTGATGTGTCCCCTTGGGCAAGTCACACAACGTCTCAATTTCTTCATGGGATACTTACCTTCCTTTTTAAAAGTACGTTGAGACCCTTAGATTATAAATGCTAAATATTATTAGTGCACCTGAGGCAGTGCCCAAGTAAATTGCCTTGAAATATTTTGTATTTATGTTACATTTATAATTCGAGGATCTCAGAGAGCTTTACAAGCATTAATTGATTCTGTGAAGTAGGTAAGTGTAATGATGTCCATTTTCAGGCTGAAGTCAATGGTCACACAGCACAGTGATTTCAATGGGACTCAGGCACCTAACTTGCTTAGGTGCTTTTGAAAATCCCACTAGCTGCTTATGGGCATCTTTAGATACCTAAACACCTTTGAAAATCTGGCCCCAGGGGTTTTTATGCTTCACAGGTTGATTGGTGGGGAAATGAAGGGCCCGATCCTGCCAGGAACTAAGTGCAAGTGCAGAGATGTCTGAACACCCATTATAATGACTCATTGAGGGGCCTGATCCTCGGTGGGGCTGAGCACCCTCAACTCGCCTGGAAGACAAAGAGCCTGCTCCTGCTTCCATTGAATCCATGAGAGTTCAGGTGTTCAATAAACATCTGAGGGGCCTTGTTTGTACTGGGAATTAGCCCCAGTCTCAGCAATCAGTGGCCAGTTACTGCTGTAGCTGCACTGGTACAAACACCCAGATCAGACCAGGAAAGCTTTGATTTGCGTGAGTGGAGCTGAGCCTGGTTTCAAGCAGCTGCAGCTACCCTTGGGGTGACCTTGGTTGCTAGCCACCAGTTGCTGAAATCAAATCTTATCCCCAGTATAAACAAGGCCATCGACACCTTTCTGCATCCTGCAATGTCCTCCTCAGGCTGTGCCATTGTCCTTTCTTGCTGCCAAGATGCACATATTCGTTAGCTGATTTGGTTAGAGTTAGGCTTGAAAGAGCATATTCACTCTTGAGCCGTGATTTTTGGTAGTTTACAGTGTTCAGAAACTATGACCTTTCATTGGAAATTTCTCTTCCGAAAGGCGAACTTTTTTGGAAAGCTTGACATAAACGGAAAGATTGTTCTTATTTGCAAGGAATCCTGCAACCAAAAGCTGCTGGCATGTACTGAGCTCAAGAGGAATCTGCTTGGTCTCCCACTAGCAATGCCTATAAACAATGGTCTAATGCAAATTAAATGCCTGACTTTCCTATACTGCATTTTCCCTGGGAGATCCCCAGCCAAGCAGTGACAAAGCCCAACCCCAGACAAACAAATGGGTTTTATGAAACTTAAAATCGCTTCTGAGGGGAGACCAAAAATGAGACATTTTATCCCAAAAGGTAAATGTTTGAGAATGCTGTAAGAAATTGGAAATACATGTTGAATATTATATTTTTTTTTTGTATTATGGTAGGGCCAAAGAATCCACTGAGATCAGGGTTCTACTGTGTTGGTGTTGTCCGCACACATATAGTTAAAGATAGTTCTAGCCCAAACAGAGTACTGTTTAAATAAACAAGGCAGACAAAGGGTTGGCAGGCAAAGAGAGGTGAAGTCATTTGCCCAATGTGACGCAGAAGGAAATAGGCAGAACTGGGCCTTAGCCACTGGACAATGCTGCCTCTAAATTTTAGAGGTTATATAGGAAAGGCATCTGAGCTTTAAAGGAAAAATAATTAGTCTCAGACCTTTTTTTTATTTTTAGTTCTTTACTATGTGCAAACAAGCCAAGAAGATGTATAGAATCTGGGCCCAGAGTCTGGCCCCAAGTAACTGGCAGTGGGATCCAACCCGTTTCCCTTTTGCAGGAGGTACAGATGACATTTCTTCATGTCTCTGCTGAGGGCCTGGCACCAGGAAGTGACAGGAATGCCAATCAAAACCCACAAACCCAGGAAGTCATTGACCCTGTGACTCTTGAGATCACCCCATGACAAGCTCCCTTTTGTTATTAAAAGGCTTTAAAATACAAGCACCTAACACACTGTTGAAATCATATGCATAATAATAATTAATACATAATAATAAAAGAACACTTGATTTAGGAATGACAAGCTCTCAGCAGGTCAACGGCATTCCAAACAATATTTAAAGCAGTGTAATCACAGCACTTAAGATATTTCTTTTATTTCAAAATGATCAGTATGTATATATATTTTATAACTAGCCCCTTGGCTGCTGTTTCTTGCTGCACTGTAACATGTGGCTGCTAGCATTTAGAGTGATCCACCCTGTCGATGGGGCAGCACCTGCCCTGTTTCTCCCAGTATACCAGGTCTGTTACTGAATGGTCAAGCAGATGGACCCTCTTTCAAAACTGAAACATTACACTAGCCACTAGAGCCTAAAATCAGCTCTAAAATACTGCTTAAAAATGGCTCTTGCTATGCTGAGCTAGCCGATCCAGCTGAAAACCTAGTTCTAACAGCTCTGCTGCTGGATGCTGTTTCCATGGAAATAGACGTTAGATCAGCACACACACACACACACACACACAAAAACAGAGCAAGTGTTTAAAATAATTTGTGTTTTGAAAGCTTTATAATTTTCTGTCACAATATTAACCTACCTTAATGTGTGTAAAATCCTTGTTTTTTTAAAGTATGCACAACAGGGGTGGATCCCCTTAATAAAACCTTCTTATTTCAATACTACAGATACAAAGCCTTTGAAATAAAGAGCTTGGCTCATAACACATTAAGGCTGCTCTACCCCGGTCATTTACCTCTCATGCATATTGACTTTTGAAGCAATTTAAATGAGTGGATCACAAAAATTATCAAGGGAATCATATTGAAATAATTTTTAAAGAACACACTAAAACCCAGCTAGTTCATTCAAAGTTCGTCTGGGAATGAACCACTTAGCTATGCTTAGTAATTCAATACCTCAGAACCAGAATAGTTCATAATGTACCCCAGAACACAAATAGGGATGGTTCTTAAAGCAGCCTACATGAATGTAATTATAAAATAATCATTATGGATGAAGAAATCGGACTAGCTGGCTGGTGGCATGGCTGCAGGGGTTTCCAGTGTAACTGCACAAATCCAAGTGTACTGTATGTAACAAAAACCATCAATGAAGGCTGTATGCTGTTCTTTAACTGTATTGTACCCTGATAATATTTACCTCCTTCACAGGCATGTGTGGCTTAGGGGAAGCTTCAGCAAAGCAGGTTGAGTCCTTTGGCTAAAAGATACTGTCGAAGTGCAAAGGATTTATCATATTATACTACCTCTTGGTACTTTTAGATTGTAAATGGTTTTGGGGGTGCATGTTTCACTCTGTATCAGAGGGGTAGCTGTGTTAGTCTGTATCCACAAAACCAACAAGGAATCTGGTGGCAGCTTACAGACTAATAGATTTGGGCATAAGCTTTCCTGGGTAAAAACCCCACTTCTTCAGACTCCATGCATCGTGGCTTTGTTACCCATGAAAGCTTTTGCCCAAATAAATCTGTTAGTCTTTAAGGTGCCACCAGACTCCTCCTTGCTTTTGTTTCCCTCTGATTTCTCTTTCCTATATTTCACTCGCATTGAAGTAACAGGTACATGTATGGCTTCCTACAAATGACAGCACATGTCATATAATAATTAGCCCTTTTGTGGCATCTCCCATGAAGGTTTCTCAAAGCATTTCACATACATTAGTGAATGAAGCTGGACTACTCCCCTCTGAATTAGGTATTCATTATCATAAATCCCAGCCCAACGGGCAAGGCACAAAAAGGGCACGTTGCTGTGCTGAGACCCCCTTTTCAATGGGTCAGAGCAGCCTCAATTCCCACTGACTTCCCTGCTCCTCAGGCAGGCATCTGGTTGCAGCACCCCGGGGGGAAGCTGAGGTCTCTCAGCACCTTGTAGCCTTGATCTGGCCCTGCCCCGAGCTCTTTCCGCCTGAAAGATGGACAAAGCCCCAGACAGCCTGGGAGCCCCAGCGCTGGGCAGAGCCTTCCTGCTGCTGCCCTGCAAGGGCTGGGGCTCGCACGTGCCTGGGAATTTGGGATCCTCCCGGGGCAAGTGGGTTTCGGGGGGCGCTGGGAGGGACGGAGCCTTGGCACAGCGTTAGCCCAGGCAGAGGCAGGGCTGGGAGCAGGAGACAAAGGGAGTCCCGTTATCCCCATTTCACACGTGGGGACGGTGAGGCCGAGGCGGGGGGCGCGTGCCGCAGCGCGTGGAGGAGCCGAGCGGGGGCAGACCCTGGCCTCCTGCCCCCAGCCCCTGCTGTCCCCAGCACCTTCACCCGCCCCGGGTCCGGCCCCGGCCCTCCCGCACTGGCCCCCACGCCCTGTTTTGTGGACTACAGCTCCCACGATGCACCAGGCGAAGGGGGCACGCGAGCCCCCTCCCCCCCCGCTGGGCGACACGTGCCGCCGCTCTCGGCCAATGGGGGCGGGGCGGGGCTGGTCACGTGCCATTGTTTGGCGCTTTTGTGAGCAGCTGGTCGGTTAAGCGCTGAGTGTGGCCAGCCGCGCGGACGGAGCAGGTGGGCGAGCGGAGCGAGGTGCGGGGGAGGGGGAGACAGAACAGAGGGCGCCTAGCAGAGGCGCGGGGAAGCAGCGGGTCGGTGCCCGCGAGGGAGGGTGCCCGTGGGCGGCGGTCGCGGGAGGGGCCCCCCCCCCTCGGTGCGGATCGGCGCTGGAGGGGATGGTCGGGGTTAATGCGGGGGGCTCTGTGTTCGCCACAGCGCGGAATTGGTCAGCCTCCGTCAGGGACCGCGGCCGCTTTGGGGCGAGGGCGAGGAGGCGGCGGCGGCTCCGCGCTTTCCCCGGGTGAAGGGAGCGGCCGGTCCCCCACAGCGGTGCCGCGGCGCAGAGGGAGCGGGGCTGACAAAGAGGACAGGGCTGCGGGAGACAATGAGCTGGGGGACGGGGCGGGGCGCGTCCCCTCCCTCCGCCTGGGGCTCCATTGTCCCCGCCGCCGTGTGGGCGGGGGGCCCGGGGCGGTTCCCGACGGAGGGGGAGAGGGGTGGGCTCAGGCAGCGGCAGTTGTCCCCGATCCCCTCCCTCCCTCCTCTGACAGGGCCCCGGCATTGTTCGCGGGGAAGGGGGCGGTGCCCAGCCAGCTCGGCCGCCCTCGAGGCCTGAGCGGGGCCGCCTCGCTGCGAGGTGAGGGGCGCGGAAGGGACCGAATCCGGCTCGCAGGGCAGGGGCCGAGCCGGGGGAGGCTTCCCGGAGGAAGGGGCTGCCGCCTGAGGAGCTTTGGCGCGCGAAAGGCGGGGGCCCGTGTCAGGTGAAACGGGCGGGAGGGGTGGCTGGGGAGGGGGTACCCAGGTGCCCGGATGTTACAGTTAGCGCCGCCCCCTCCCCTTAGCCCCTGCGCGCGCTCTCCAGCGGTTTGAATTCGGTGCTGTTCGAAACGCGCGTGCCGAGGGAGGGGCTTCAAGAGAGCTCGCTTCTGAGTGGGCATCTCGATTGGGCCAATTAGGGAGCCGGTCCTAGCCCCGCCCCACGAGCTATAGCCTGATCCCATGCACTGTCTGGAGATTACTCTACCTGGGGGGTCAGCTCTTCACTCTGCCCCCCACAGCCCCGCTTACCCACAATAGCCAGACTGTTCTACCATTACTCTTCCAGAGCCCCATCCGTCTGTTCTGCCTCCAAAGGGGGCGCCCCTCCCTACTATTCCAGGCTTACAGTCCTTGCCCCTCTGTAGCTATTGTTCTGGTTCTAATCTTTGCTATTTAACAATCCAGCTGTTCATAGCTGTCGCTTACCTCAACTATCAGTCATGCTTTTGTGGTTTTGCAATGATCTCTGCTCTTATTTTAGTGAGGCTGTCATAATCTGGCATTAAGGAAAATGGCTCAACTGTCTATCTTTAAAAGTGCAGAGTACCATGTAGTGCTTTTCATCTAATGGCTTCTAAATAACCATTCTAAACAGTCAACATCAGTGGGACTGTACCCATTTTTGTACATGAGTAAATGGAGGCACTTGTAGCTGGCCTGTATCCATTGGATCCTCTGGATAGAATGCAGGACTGGAACTCAAATCTGAGTTTTCTATTCCTGGCTCTGTTACTGCACTGCTGGGTCCTTGGGTAAGTCAGTTCCCCCTCTGTGCCTCCACTTCCCCATTAAAATGGGGATAATGATGCGAATACGGACTAACACGGCTGCTACTCTGAAACTGATAATGATACTGTTCACCTTTGTAAAGTGCTTTGAGATCTATGGGTGGAAAATGACCCTAAGAGCTAAGTGTTACAAAATGGTTATGCTCCGAGCATGCTGTATAATGTGGCTTGGTGTCTCTTCAGTAGATGGGTATCAGTCATAGCGTAAAAACAAGGGAAATTTGATCCTATTCGCACAAGAACAACCAAACTTAAAGTATCTTGAGAGACAGCTGTCTAATGACTAGTTGTCTCATTGTAGTCTTAAATATGGTGTTGACTAAGCCTAAATTGTCACTGCAATTCTCTGAAACTTGGAATAGGCTGCAGTCCTGAATCTACTTCCTTTGGACTATAGTGCCACCCCTGAAATGTAAAATCTGTTACTTTCCTCAGTTTATGAAATGACTTAATCTTTGGTGGAAAAAAGCAGGATTAGTAGCCCTTTGTGGGGACAGAGAAATTATTGGACTAAACACTTACTTTGTGGCACTTGCAATTTAGAAGTGCAAACAAGGTCCGAAAATATTCGGATCAACTGGGCCTAGAGGCACTGGAATAGCAGAAACTTCTCCAACTGCCTAGATTGGCCACAAACTCTTAAATCATAGGGTTAGAAGGGACCGCAAGGTCATCCTGTTGTAGTAATTAATGCCTCTTCAGTATTCTCTTATTGTAACACACAGTGATTTTTGATTGGTGTTGCATTCTGCTGTGTAAAACAATTTTTTTTAACTCTTATGGTTGTCTACTCAAAGAATTAATGACTATTTATTAATTACTTAGGGGTTCCACTGATTGGAGTCTTTCCAGAGCACATTTCTGGTGTCTACCTTCTTAGTCATGGCTTCTTCTGGTATGTAATGTGTTAAGAACACTTTATGGAATATTCCTGTATTGTATCTTCTCAATAACTTGTAAATGTTTTGAATAAATGGGAAGTTCCTTCACTACCCTAATTTTGATGTTAAATAAGCAGTAAGCAAAGTACTATTTTACTGTCTCTTAATGCAGGGGTTAGAAAACTTTAAATTAAATGCATGTGAAAACACACAAAGCTTTGTCTGCTAACAGATAGCATTAGATTAACTGAAAGCCATCTGGTATGGTTGATGAAAGTGACTATAAAATGTGCATGTGATGCCCTAAATCCTATAAGCAGACAAAGTCAGTTCTGCAGGAGTTTAGAAGCCATTTGTGCTCTGTCCTGAGAAACATAGTCTGAAGTTCTGGAAGAAAGGCTGGCCTGCTGGCTAAAGGGCGTTGGAAGACCAGGGTTCAATGCCTGGCTTTACCACAGCTTTCTGTGGGACCTTGGGCAAGTTATTTAATCTTGGTCCTTTAGTTCCCCATCTATAAAGTGGGGATACTTGCCTATCTAACTAGGATGTTGAGGATAAATTAATGTGTAAAGATGCACAGATACTGTTGTGGCTATGTGACTTAAGAAACAAATGTATTGTTGGCTTATGCGGCTGCTTTAAATAGGCTAATCTGCTCATTTTAAACTCTGTCTTCATTAAACAGCTGTGTTATCTATCTAAGTCTAAGAATCCTGTGTAATGAACCAAAGTCAACACTTAGGTTGGCTCCAAGTACCGATGTGTCTTGTCATTCTCTTAGATATTCAGGTGAAGGAGCTGGAAAAGCGTGCATCTGGGCAGGCATTTGAGCTGATACTTAGTCCTCCTTCAAAAGAAGCAGTCCCAGAATTTCCCCTCTCCCCTCCAAAGAAGAAGGATCTTTCACTGGAAGAAATTCAGAAAAAGTTGGAAGCTGCAGAAGAGAGACGTAAGGTAAATCCAAAGTAACAGTAGCTTAAAAGGCCAGTCAGGTAAAGCTCACTTTTAAAAAAACCAACAAAAACCCCTTTCTGATAAATCTAATATTGCAGGACTTTCAGTCTTAATATAGGTTTCAGAGTAACAGCCGTGTTAGTCTGTATTTGCAAAAAGAAAAGGAGTACTTGTGGCACCTTAGAGACTAACCAATTTATTTGAGCATAAGCTTTCGTGAGCTACAGCTCACTTCATCGGATGAAGCTCACGAAAGCTTATGCTCAAATAAATTGGTTAGTCTCTAAGGTGCCACAAGTACTCCTTTTCTTTTAGTCTTAATATAGGCACTTGTTAGTTTGGACAACCAGCTAGCTACTCACATGCTAGCATAGCGCTGCAAAAGAGCAGGAGATTGTTTGTTTGCTTGTTAAATGGCTTGCAGTAGAATTTCTAAAGCTCTTACTCAGTTGTATTAAATGTATCTGCAAGACCTGAACTTCATTCCCAAAGTGACCCTTCAGGAGGTTGCCCCAAACATGGGGGTGGTGGGACATACAATAGGGAGAGAGACTGCTGCTCTGTGATCTCCTAAAGTTTACTGAAAGGTTGTCTTCCTTCTAATTCTTCCTCCTACCTCTTACTTCATGGGGAAAGTCTTGGACTCCTCCCAGAAAAATCTGGCTATTGGTAAATCTCCGAAACACTCCTAATACAAAGTCCATGGTTGAAAGTTGGACTAGACATGGCACCTGCTGTTGAGACATGGCTTCAAATTCCTAATTATTATAAATAGGAGGGCCACAAATGTGAAGGCTTTTTAACATAAACGTAATATCTGAGTTGCATAGTCTCTAGTGTCCATGGCTTCATGTTAAGACGTACGGTGACTGGAGGAGGATAGAATCATCCAGAAAACTTGGCAGCAATGTACCCTTTTTCTTTCAGAAGCTATCTAGTTTACTAGATTCTTATACTTAACTGCAAGAACTTATTTTCTTGTGTACTCAACTATGATGGAATCTGGGCAAGTAGAGAAGGAAGGCATTGGGGATAGTCTTAACACATCAGGTGTTAAGACTACAGTCACAAATGAAATCGGCAGTAGAAAATGTTGTCTCCAATGTAGACAAATTAGGTACCTTGCTATATAGTTCATCTGTCTTGTGTCTAAACATACGTGGTCTATCTTGTTAGTCTCATGAAGCAGAAGTCTTGAAGCAATTAGCTGAGAAACGAGAGCATGAAAAAGAAGTGCTTCAGAAAGCAATTGAAGAAAATAATAACTTCAGCAAAATGGCAGAAGAGAAGCTGACCCACAAAATGGAAGCTAACAAAGAAAACAGAGAGGCACAAATGGCTGCTAAACTGGAGCGCTTGAGGGAGAAAGTAGGTGTCGAGTTCTAATTCCCACTTGGGAAGAACTCTTGTATGTTCTTTTCTATGCTCACCAGCTAAACATAACCTACTAATGGCAGAGTGGGTTAATTCTCTAATTAGATATCTGGAGGTCTGGGGGTATCTTTTGGTCAGTCTCCACACTAAAGAGGATTATATATCTTATTAAATCCCCAAAAGATGTATAGTAATTCTCTTGGGAAGAGGGACTGGAGGGAATTTTCATGCACTTTAAAAAAGGAAGTAAGAAGTCACTGATCTTCAAAACTTTCAGTGGCGTATGCTACAATTCACCCTGTCATTTGGGGATCAGGTGTGAAGGTGGAATCAGAAGATTTGGCAGCTGAAGTGTAGACCTGAGTGCTGCTACAAACTTAGAGTCTTGGTTTCTTTAGTAGACTAATTCAAACAACTAATTGCTCAATCACCTTTCCTTTCTTCAGGACAAGCATATTGAAGAAGTACGAAAGAACAAAGAAGGCAAAGAACCTGGTGAGAACGAAACTGACTGACCTTCATTCTGGAAAATGACTCTCCCCCTCCCCTAAATATCCAAAGACTGTATTGGCCAGTGGGTTTTTTTGTTGAATTTCTAGAAAACTGATGTAGAGCTGTATAGTTAGATCCAAACTGTACACTTGCTTTGGGGACTAAAGGGGAGATCTTACATGTTTCACTTTTTCTAAAGTGTTGTCTTTCCAGTGTAGCTATCTTGTTGCATCCTTTTCTACTCCAGTGAGCTTGCTACTGGGCTGATGGCTAGTACTGTATAAGCTCTGTAAGACATGTTTGTGAAAGGAATATGTAGTATACTATTCCATGCTGAATATCTGTTACACTTCAAAATCTGACTGTCCCAGTCTTATAAGATACTACTGTAACTGAGTGACTTAATAAAGCTGCACAGTGCTATTATCACAAGTGAATTATTTCTGGAACTAATATGACAATACATTTTAAAAAATCCAACTTTTATAGATGACTGTGTCTAAAACAGACTGTCTTTAACATTAGAAAGAAAAGCCTGAAGCAGCACTCTTTCTTACACCCAGCTACTGGATATACTGTATAGCATCCTTTTTCCCTAGAGCAGTCTTCATTGTTTTAATCTTACAATAAGAGCTTTGTTGTGGCACCTCAGCAGTTGTCAGCTGTTACGGTTCTTGTTTAAACAATTCAGAACCACCTCCCTCGGGATGTTGACACTTCAACAAATAAATCCTTGTTAACAAGTCAGATAAGTCATGTGGTATGTTTAAAAACAACTTTTTCTGGAAACACTAAGTGAGCAATCCAAGTGTCACCATGCAGCTTTTTGGAGAGACTTCAGGGGAAAGTGACTTCAAACTTGATGCAGTTCTTGCACTTCCCTAATCAAATGACAGACAGAGGTTTAAATTTAAAAATGGGCATATTATCAAGACTTCCAGTACTTTCCATGTACATCAACTGTGGTACAGTGCAATCTACACCTATTATCAATTAAGAGGAGCTACACTTTGTGAGCAAAAAATAGCTTATTCTAACTCAAACAGTAGTTAGAGCTTAAGGGAGAGAGAGGAACCCAACTCCCATCGTCATTACAAAATAGTCCCCCAAAACTCTACTTCCTTAATTACTGTTATCATATGTTGTCCCTATTTAACTCAATTCATGCGAGTCTAACTGGAGACAGGCCATTATTTCACTTAATGTTACTCAACTCAGTAGCTTTCCTTCCAAAGTGAAAGACTCTAGAAGGAGTCTTGTAGACACTTATGAATGTATACTGCTAATTATGAGGAAAAGAAATAACTGCAAATTGCCCATGTAAGTAGCTATATGACCATAAAGTCTCCAACCTAGACATAGGTAGGATTCATTCTTAGTGAGCCCTGTTACTCAGGCTTGTGTTATAATCTGTCCCAGAGAACTTTTCTAGCTAAATACAGGAGTACCCATTGAATGGCTTGACACCATATACACTTACCACTGAAGCTTGTAAGAGGCAAGGTACCAAACATGAGACAGCTAATGCCTGACTTCCAGAGGCACTGAGCACTAACAGCTCCCACTGACTTCAGCTAGAATTTGGGATGGTCAGCACTGCTAAAACGGCTCTGAGGGCTCAAAATTGGACACCGTTTAATTTGTTGCTCTTATTGCAACAGTTACTTCACAATCCAGCTCCACTTCATGGCAATAAAAGTCCCAGGGCATCTGATGTCCTGAGGATGGTGTGATGGCTGAGCCAGGCTTCTAGGGTTTTTAAATTGCTGACCTGAATTCCAAGCTGTTCCTCCAGTTTTCTGGGGGCTGTTAATATGGAAACCTTGTTTCTGCAGGTTCTTACATACCATGTGGAGTGTTTTTATTTGGTGTTCGTACAGTATCTAGAACAGTGAGACCCTGGTCCGTGACTGGGGCTCCTCCTAGCTGCTACCTGTGTAATGACAGATCTGATCAGATCAAGAATCTATTCTGCATATTTAGTCCAAGTATCGTGGGGTGCTACTCCATCAATGAGGGAAAAACTAAGAATACAAAGGGAGACAGGACAGAAGCAGAGGCAAAGTGACTTTTCTGAGATCACACAGCAGTGCCAATCAGAAATGAACCATAGATTTGGCAACTACCAGTCCAGTGCATCTCTCCTGAAATACACGGTGCTGCATTTAAACCATTCCTGTGAAAAAAGTCAGAGGCTCCCAAAGTATTCATCACATTGATTTTGTCTCACCTAGGGAAAAAGCCCAGCCCTGTCAGCACCCTAGTGCCATGCTGTGAAGAAGAGCACCACCCACTAAAACCTTGACATTATTCCTGTAGTAGGTTGATGGGCCCTGGAGCCCTGTCTAAAGATCTGGTCATGCCTAACCCAGATCCTGTTATATCCAAAAGGAACGACACAAAGGGGATATGGCTGAACTGGTCTCCTTCCATCTTTTTGAAGAAGGAGACTGGTGGAAGAAAAGGGTCTTAAAAGAAGGGTAATAAAGGAATTTGAGGAAGGAGGGACCCAGGAATTGCAAGGATGACACAGCAAGTGAGGGGAAAAGTGAAGTAATGGATTACAGGGAGAGATAGGATGGAACAGATAAGATGAGGCAAGAGAAAGGGAATAGACATCTGGAAAAAGTGAAAGGCTGGACAGCCTGTAAAGAGCACCAGGCTTTGTTAAAACAGACAAATTCAAGTTAGAATTCACAGTGAGGGTGACTGACCATGGGAACCAATTACAAAGGGAAGGTGCCTTCTCCATCTCTTGATGTCTTCAGCTCAAGATGCTGCCTGTCTGCAAGATATGCTTTAGCCAAACCCAAGTTACTGGGCTTATTACAGGTGTAACTGAAAATTAATTGCCTCTAGTATACAGGAGGTTATGCTAGATGATTTAATGCTCTCTTCTGGCCTTAACATCTATGAAACTACAAAGCTATATAATAATTCTTGGGTCCATATTAGAAGAATTGTGGCTTGGAAAGTGGGAAAAGGCTGTGAAACAAGGCTGTGATATGGTTTTTATTGGATTAACTATGAAAATTAATATAGCCAGTATTATAAAATCCCATTTTTTTTTATGCTGCCCTCATATTTTCAGTTTTCAATATACCACAGATTTTTGCAGTGATGATGTCCAACTACATCATAGAGATTGTCAGGGGACGCTAGACGTTTGGCATCTGAGTAGGGGATATTTGGGGTTGACGCCTTCACTGGTATGGATGACAATTTGGGATTGCAGAATAAACACAGTAGCTGGATGTTTTTGCTATGTCATCTTTATGTTTTAGAGTTAACTCATTTCAGATGAACAGGCCAGTTCACACCTCTTTCAGGTATTGTTACAAGTTATCTGCAGACTCTGGAAGATGTCACTGCATTGATATAGGCCCTAGGGCTTGTCTACACGGAGAAGCTATTGCAAAATAAGGTAGGATGTGAATTTAAAACATGATAGTTATTCCACACTAGTTCCAAACGTATACGCTCTTAGACAGGCTTGTCTAAACTGCAACGTTGTCAACAAAACTTTTGTCTTTCATGGGTACTTAAAAAAGCCCCCCTGCGAAAGATAAAAAGTTTTGCCGACATAAGTGGCAGTGTGAACGTGGCTTTGTCGGCAGGAGTGCTCTCCTGCCGACAAAGCTAACGTCGCTGGCGGGGCTGGAAGTATTTTGTCAGCAAAAGTGCCGACAAAATATCGACAGAGAGCATTCGCACACGCTGACTTTCAGTGACAAGCCTGACAAGTGTTGACACAGCCTTGTTGCTAAAAGCTGCGTAGTGTAGACAAGCCCTTATTCCACACTGAGTGATTTCTGCATATTTAGCTTATTGCACTTGCAAAGTGATTTAAGCTAAACTATATAAAGGCACTCACTGCAGAATAAGCATCCACATGGGGAGGTAGTACAAAATAGCTACTGCAGCCTATTTCCCTATGTAGATAAGCCTTTATTCTGTTCAAGTTTTCAGGGTTATGTTTGCAATAATGAGTGCTACAAAGACAATTTTTTTTAAAATGCAAGTTCAGATTCTGGAGCACAATTGTGCGTCAAGGGGTGAATTCCATAGCCACCGAATCATGGATTACATAGGGGCTCTAGCTATGATTTAGAGAGCCCCAAATGGTCTGCAATCCAGTTGGAAAGATCTGTGTTCCTTTATAAATGGCTTTGACATACTTGCTATTGTTCCTACCGCTCAAGGACAGATGGCTGAGTATTCTTCATTGAGGATATTGCAGGAACCTTTTTTTGGCCATTTCCCTAGAGCAGTGGTTCTCAACCAGAGATCTTCCAGGGGGTACATCAACTCATCTAGATATTTGCCTAGTTTATAAAAAGCACTGGCAAAATCAGTACAAACTAAAATTTGGTACAGACTATGACTTGTTTATACTGCTCTCTATACACTGAAATGTAAGTACAATATTTATATTCCAATTGATTTATGACTATATGGTAACAATTGGAAAGCAATTTTTCAGTAATAGTGTGCTGGGACACTTTTGTATTTTTAGGTCTGATTTTGTAAGCAAGTAGTTTTTAAGTGAGGTTAAACTTGGGGGTACGTAAGACAAAGACTACTGAAAGGGATACAGTAGCCTGGAAAGCTTGAGAATCACTGCCCTAGAGCCTGCATTTGGCAAGCTTCAGGTCAGAATGTAAGAATTACCTGTCTAGACTGGCTTTTGACTGACTTTTAGATTATTTTAAAGGTGACTTGTGAAGGGGGGAAAAAGGGGGTTGTATCTTGTTTTGCCTCTTTATGATGTATAAAGAAGACCTAGAAGGAGTTTTTTCCTAATAGAAATAGAAATCCAGGTTCTGTCTGCACTGGGTGAATCTTGTATGATTGGAGATCTGGTGAAATTATAAGTCTAGAGAGTGAAAGCTGAGCAAATGAGAAGGGAAGGAATTTTTAATCATACTTTTAAAGCATTTTTTTCAAACATAACACCTATTTAACTCCCAACCCTTCAAGGTAAGTTAAGGTGTTTCAGTGTAAAATACACATCCTCTGAGGCATGAAATACATTTTCTGCCAACCCCAGAGAAGACCAGACTTGACTTTCCTGATACTTCCAAAGTCAAGAAACAGAAACTCAGCTCTTTATCCATCATAAAGAAGCAAAAAAAGATGCACAAGCCAAATTTTTAAAGATTCTCTGTGGGTCACTTTTCACATCCTCCATGACCTGCGTTTATTTTGAAGGTCTTGTGTTTTATTAATGGTTTTTAATGGTACCCAAATGCACTGGGTACTTCTAACGCCCTGATCTTGCAGATACTGACAAATGTCAATAGTCACTAAAGTGTTTTTCATGGCAGAAACAGGTTGGGTATCGAGATGAAATGGTCTGAAATAAGGAGAGCTGAGAGGCCATTTGGGGATGAATTCAGATCAGAGATACAGCAGTCTGATATTGCACTGATCCCTGTCTCCTGTTCGATAAAACTGACACCAAACCACGAAGAATCAGAAGACAAAACAATAGAAGAACCTTTGTCAACTCCTGTGTCACCTGAAGTTTCTTCTCTAACATTAGTGAGTTAAACCTCACAACCCACTTGTGTGATATTACTGAGCCTATTTTATAGATGGAATGCCTGGTAATATGGGTACAAATAGCACTGTGTCATGAAAACAGCAGGGAATTTGCAGGAAAGTGCTACACTGAGATTCACATCATAGAGCTATATTTTATTGAGGAACCGGTGCAGAAAGGCAGGTGTCCCTGGGAATGGGCCTATTTAAATCTTGATCTGAAGCTACACCAGTGTGATTGGATGTTGATCGCCATGTAAAGATAATGGTCATATATTTGAATCAATAAATATTTTAAAACCCAGTGAAAAGAGTTTGCACAACATACTGGGCTCCAGAAAAGCCACCACTGTAACATGATAGCTCAGCTGGGCTGGGAAATGTGGGAAGATTGCCAAGGTTTTCAGAAGGATTCAGACGGGTTGCCATTGGAGAGGGTGTGAGAAGTGTGTGTTCATGTGGAAGGCAGGTGCCCCTCACTAGACTTTGGAGCTGCCTGCTTGAAAACAAAGAGGTGTCAATAGAGCGACCTAAGCAGTAATAATGCAATGGTCACTTCGTTTTCATGTTTTAGAGGGGTAGCCGTGTTAGTCTGTATCAGGAAAAACAATGAGGGGTCCTTATGGCACCTTAGAGACTAACAAATTTATTTGGGCATAAACTTTCCGGGCTAGAACCCACTTCATCGGATGCATGGAGTGGAAAATACAGTAGAAGGTATAAATACACAGCACATGAAAAGTTGGGAGTTGCCTTACCAAGTGGGAGGTCAGTCTAATGAAATAATTCAGTTAACAGTAGGATTTTTCCTGCCTTGCTCTCCTACTGTTAATTGAATTGTCTCCTTAGACTGACATCCCACTTGGTAAGGCAACTGCCATCTTTTCATGTGCTGTGTATTTATACCTGCTACTGTAATTTCCACTCCATGCATCCGATGAAGTGGGTTCTAGCCCGGAAAGTTTATGCCCAAATAAATTTGTTAGTCTCTAAGGTGCCACAAGGACCCCTCATTGTTTTTTCGTTTTCATGCAGAAAATACAGGCTGATGGAGCTGCTAGCCATGGGCAGAGGGGAAAGTTCAAGGATCTTAAATCCTCTCCCCATCCTGCAAAATGTAAATACTCTGAATTCTAGAAATGCCCCTAATCCCCCACGCCTGATCAAGGCAGATTTTGGACAGGGTCACCCTGAGGCTGGGATTAAAGCTGCTGGTTTTAAAATAACTTCTTAGGGAAATTAATGTCCGAGCAGGAAAAGGGAGAGCTGCAGGGGTCGGCTCTTCCCCGCAACCCCCCCCTCCACCCTCAGCTCCCGGCATCTCCCTCTCTTTGCTGCCCCATTGCGCCCCCCGCAGCAGGCTGCCCCAGCGGCAGGTCTCCGCGGCCTCCAGATGGCGCAGCTCCCTCGCTGCAGCTCCTCGGCCCCTGGGTTGCAGCGGCGCAGGCGTCCCTGCCAGCTGGGTGGGGCAGGGAAGCAGATGACGGCCGCTGCAGAGGGGCGGCCCGGCCGGACTGGGTATCGCCTCCCTCCCCTCTGTCTCCCAGGTGCCACTGGGACCAGGGTGGGGCAGAGCCAGGAGCATCGGACAGGGGCCGAGGGAATTCGAGCTTCGCAGGTACCTGAGCGGGACAAGGGAGGGACTGAGCTGTTTGGGGGTGCCAGGAGCGCACGATTCTGGGGACCCCTGAGAACTAGGAGTAGCCTAGGTATTCCCTTGCGCCGGGCACCTCTGAGATCCTTGTTTGCTTGGGGAGCCAGTATACTGGGTACTTCCCTAACACTACGAACCTCTGAGATCCCCATAGCCTTTAAGCCTAATACCAAGGATCTCTAGGGGACACCCTGGGGCATCCTTCACGGCAGGAATCTGCAGGGGACCCCAATACTTAAAAACTTAGGGCACTAGAAAATAGGGTACCCTGAGTGGAAACCCTAATAGCTACAGATCTCTCGGGTACCTGGAGACTGATGGGGAGCCCTGGTACTGCATACTCCTGGGGGGACCCTAATCCTATAGATCCTAATATTAGGAAATTCTCAGAAACCCTAGTACCCTGAGCCTTTTGGGGGCCCCTAATATATGGCACATCAAGGGACCCTGGTATCTGGAGGCTAGAGTTTGCTCTCAGTTATGTGGCTGAATGCCTATTGACTTGAGTGGAGCTATCCTGGATTTACACTGGCAGAATTTGGTCCTTGAGCTTTAGGGGAGTCTGCTACCTGTACATAGCTGGGTCCTGCTGATGCAGTCCCAGCAACCAAGTCCAAAAAAATCACAGCTCTGTTTTGGATCAGTTTCTGCCTGTCTGAGGAAAGTTTTTCAGAACTTTGAGAAATAAGATAAAAATTCAATTGAGGTGAAATTGATCCCTACAGGGCACACTGAGTTTAATCCAGCAATTGAAGTGAGTTTTGCTGATCCTGCCCCAGTGTAAAAGAAACCAGAGCTGTGGCTCACGAAAGCTCATGCTCAAATAAATTGGTTAGTCTCTAAGGTGCCACAAGTACTCCTTTTCTTTTTGCGAATACAGACTAACACGGCTGTTCCTCTGAAACCTGTCACATAGTGACTGACATTTAAAATATACCAAATTTTATTTATGCTTTTAACAGGATGTTTACGTTTGTACACAAGCAAATACACATGTAAACATTTAGGGCCAGATGCTGCAAACTTTACATTAAGTAGCACTCTATGAGACTTCCGATGTAAGTGCTACTCAACATGAGTCAGGGATACCTTGTGGGAGAGTTAGTTTATGGCACTGGAGATGCCTGGGTATTTGGTGCAGCACTGTTAAAATCTAGTTAGGTACGTAGATGTTCTTGATTCAGAGTGTAAATGAGACTAGTATTTTCCTAGGTACTGTACAGGAAAATACTTATTGTTTCTTTGCTCCCACTATGTTGTAAGGAAGTTCACTAGTGAAAGATTAGTGCTGCTCAAACCAGTCTCGGGGCTGCCTGATTTAAGCTGTTTTCTGTTTCCTATTTTCTGTTTTGTTTGGCCACATGGAAGGTCACTCTGTGAATGATATATTTCCTTGCTACTGTTAAGACTCTGAATCAGAGGTGGTGCTAACCTACAGGAATATTTTTGGGTCCCTTTTCACCACCCCCACTAAAAATACTATGTGCATTATTTCCACAAACCAAAAAATATACCAACACATACTCATACACTTGTGGTAACAAGTCCACGTTAAGGGTACTTTGGGTGTAATGCTAAATCAGGGAACTCTTGAGCTGCTGGGGGCCTAAGTAAATACTTAGTCTGCTTATGCCTAGCAAGCTTACCACTGCTTCAAATGCATATTTCTCTATTGCCTTGTAGATTCTGGAGCAGTGTCTCCTAAAATGAAGCAAACTGGGGCCTTAGCTTTACTGGGCATTTGCTCCGATTCCAACAATTGATGAACCAACCACCCATCCACCAATATAGCTCGGAGCTGGATAAGCACCGCCCATGCAAATCGTGGCTTTCCTTGTCTCCACCTGGGGTTTGCACTGGTGTGCAGCTATGCTGACAGCAGGAATCAGGACATATTCTCAGTGCAGACGAGGCTTGAGGTTTTTACCAAACCATGGAAGATTTTCTATCACTTAATGTATGTGACCAACAATGTGTTTGAGTCAGGAACCACGTGTGCAGCTGCCTTCTTGCCCATGCCTTCCCCAGCAGGGATCAGGATGGTTTCTGTTCTTTTTGTTGAGGATTAGTTGGAGTGTAGAAGAAGTTGGTGATTACTTTCCATTGTCACCCTCCCCATTCTGGTGATTCCCATCAGGAGGAGAGGAGGGTGGCAGGAGCAGTTTGGAGGCTGCCTCCCAAAGAGTTTTCTGTCTCGTACCCTGGAATTCTTTTATATAATGTGATTTCAGCACTAATCAGAGCTGCACAGAGCAGGAAATATTATTTTGTCCTCAAGCCTATTTTTTTCAATATCACAGTGTGTTCTAGTGGTCCCAACCACGAGTTGGATCTCATTGTGCTAATTGCTGTACAAACCTAGAATAACAGTCCTTGCATCAAGGATTTTACAATCTAAATAATCTTCTAGACAGACAGTGGGGGAAAGGGATGCAGTGTAGAAGCAGAGCACTAAGCAATCTTTTTGTCTGAATGCGTGTGGTTCATCTTCAGATATCAGCACGGGGGGGGGCATGTATCTGCTCTGTCTATTTTGATATAGAGGTAATGATAGCAGGTCGTTAATAATAATAATTAATAATAAATAATGCCCCTAACCTTGTCTAAGGGTACATTTACCCTGTGACAAAAGACCTGTGTCATGGCCACAGCTGGCCCAGGTCAGCTGACAGGGCTCAGGCTGAGAGGCTATAAAATTGCAGTGTAGATGTTCAGGCTCAAGCCTAGGCTCTGAGACCCCCAAGAGTGAGGAGGGTCTTAGAGCCAGGGGTCCAGCAAGAGCCCAAATGTCTATACTGCAGTTTTTAGTCAGCTGTCCTGGGTTTAGGGTTGCCAGCCCTCCAGGATTGTCCTGAAGTCTCAGGGGATTAATCTTTAATTATAGATAATGTCATGTGATGAAAACTCCAGGAATTCATCCAACCAAAGTTGGCAACCCTATTGGGCTGGGAGATTCGGTGCTGTGTGTTTTTTATCACAGTGTAGCTGTACCCTGAGCTGTTCCAATGGCTTTGTCATAAATATAAAGGGAAGGGTAAACACCTTTAAAATCCCTCCTGGCCAGAGGAAAAACCCTTTCACCTGTAAAGGGTTAATAAGCTAGGATAACCTTGCTGGCATCTGACCACAATGACCAATGAGGAGACAAGATACTTTCAAAGCTGGAGGGGGGGGAGAAACAAAGGGTCTGGGTCTGTCTGTGTGATACTTTTGCTGGGGACAGCACAGGAATGGAGTCTTAGAACTTAGTAAGTAATCTAGCAAGATATGCGTTAGATTCCGTTTGTTTAAATGGCTGATAAAATAAGCTGTGCTGAATGGAAAGGATATTCCTGTTTTTGTGTCTTTTTGTAACTTAAGGTTTTGCCTAGAGGGATTCTCTATGTTTTGAATCTGATTACCCTGTAAGGTATTTACCATCCTGATTTTACAGAGATGATTCTTTTTTACTTTTTCTTCTATTAAAATTCTTCTTTTAAGAAACTGAATGCTCTTTTCATTGTTCTTAAGATCCAAGGGTTTGGGTCTGTGGTCACCTATGCAAATTGGTGAGGATTTTTATGAAACCTTCCCCAGAAAAAGGGGGTAAGATTTGGGAGGATTTTGGGGGGAAAGACGTTTCCAGATGAACTCTTTCCTAATAATAATAATACCGGTGTTAGATGTTTGGTGGTGGCAGCAAAAGTCCAAGGGCAAAGGGTAAAATAGTTTGTACCTTGGGGAAGTTTTAACCTAAGCTGGTAAAAGTAAGCTTAGGAGGTTTTCATGCAGGTCCCCACATCTGTACACTAGCGTTCAGAGTGGGGAAGGAACCTTGACAGGGTTCATGTCTGAAATGTAAGAGTTAATCTAAAGCGCCCAGTTGCACAGAGCCTGGAATGGGGTTTGAACTTTGTGTTTAAACAAGGCTTTAGCAAATAGAGTTAGGGTAAACATATTTTAAAAAAAACAAGAACGTTCTAGCCTAGAACAGGGTCTTCTTAATACACTTCCAAGGCCAGTGTGAATGTGGTAAAAGGAGCCCAGAAGTTTGGTTTTTGTCTCTTCAGGGACAGTAGTTTCTGAGTAGAATGCAACTACATAACAGTTTGCTCCCACAGAATGTGTTAGGGAATCTAAATGATGTGTTTAGAGTATTTGTGTTTTGTTACCCCTGCTCCAATGGGGTCAAACTTGCTTGTGACCTCTAAGCCCTGCTGTAATACAAATAATAGTGTTTAAACCCAAATCAAAAAAACCCTCCATGCTACTTTTCATTCTTCATTTATTGTAAATGTCGGGAGACCATTATCTCTGATAAGCAGATCTGCCAAGATTTAAAAACAAACAAATGAACCCTACATGTTGATCCCCAGTAATGTTGCTTTTAAAACTAACTAAACTTTCCTTTCTTCTCTTCATGAAGGTTCGCTTGCTTGGCAGCAATTGAGTGTACTGGTCTCCTTGTCATGGCAACCATTGTCCTGGAAAAACTTACTCGCCTTTTCATTAATGTGCAGCAGCTTTGGCAGGTCCCCAGGCTGCTGGAAACGGCATTCCCCTCGCCTCCCTGCACCGTGGGTACCTCAGATGTGCCTAAGGTCTTCTGGAAACCCTACATTCACACCGGCTACAGACCCCTCAACCGGACCTGGAAGTATTACTTCTTGACGCTTTTCCAGCCGCACAACGAAGCTGTCAACGTCTGGACTCACCTCGTGGCTGCACTAATCCTGCTGTTGAGGTTCCAGCGTCTTTCCCAGACGGTGGATTTTGTGAGCGATCCTCATGCCCATCCCCTGTTCATCATTGCCATTGCTTCTATCACCTACCTAACCTTCAGCACCCTGGCTCACCTCCTCCAAGCCAAATCAGAGGTCTGGCATTATAGCTTCTTTTTCATGGACTATGTGGGAGTAGCCATTTACCAGTACAGCAGTGCCTTGGTGCATTACTACTATGCCATTGAGCCAGACTGGCATGCAAGGATCATGGGGTTTTACATGCCGGGGGCTGCTTTGCTAGCTTGGTTATCGTGTGCAGGTTCCTGTTATGCTAAATATAGATACCATCAGCTTCCCCGCCATCTGAGCAGGGTGTGTCAGGAAATGCCCTTGGGCCTGGCGTATGCTCTAGACATTAGCCCAGTAATTCACCGGCTCTACACTGTTCAGCCCTCCGAGCAGGCAGATCCAGCCCTTTTATACCACAAATGCCAGGTGCTGTTTTTCCTTATCGGTGCTTTTTTCTTCTCGTACCCTTATCCAGAGAAATGGTTTCCGGGGAAATGTCATTTCTTTGGGCAGGGGCATCAGATCTTCCACGTGTTTCTGGTGCTGTGCACCCTAGCCCAGGTGCAGGCGGTGGCTCTGGACTATGAGTCAAGGAGGGAGATCTACACCAGTCTGCACGGTAACCAGACTCGCAATTTCTCTGCCCTGTGCTTCTTCACCGTAGCCTGCTGCCTCCTCACTGCCGCTTACATGACTAGCAAAGTGAAGTGCAAACTGAATTGCAAAGGAGAATGAAAGCTGTGGAGAGGAAGCTCCTGATCTTTCCCATCCTGGCTGTTTGAGGGGATGCCACCATAACAATCTGGATTCAAATCTGGCTATGGACAAGTGTAAAGTGTGATGGAATACTTGGAAATGTGCTATTGTTAAGTGATCTGCAAAGGGAAAATGCTGGAAGTTTGTGCTCTTTTGGATTTTTTATGATGGATAAAGAAGACCTGGAAAGGTGTATGTGTGTATAAGTGTTAAACCGGTTTCTTTTTCTGCTGATTTTCTGCCTTCGAAATTCTGGTGCTGTCTTTAAAAGACCTCAATGAAGAGCTGGGAGTAACGCTCTCTTTGCTAAATATGCATCCCGCTGCCCCGACATCTAAGGGCTGAGAAAGCTGACTTGCACAGCTGAGATCTAGGTCTAGCAAAACCAGGAGTGGTCAATTCTAATATTTCTCAGGCAGAAGTTAAGACAGAAAAAACAAGTCCAGCTTGTCTTTACATGTCGCAAAGAAGCAAACAAGGGGACAAGACAGACATTTTTTTTCTATTCAGGTCACTTTATATAGCACAGGAACTTTACACGGCACTTTACACACAGAGAAAGACATGTGGCCTGCCCTTATAATCTAAATAAGACAAGCTACACTGAAGACAAGGCCCTATCAGGAGGGGGGAGGAGGTTATCAGTGATGAAGAGGAGAAGGGAGGAAGGATAGCTGGAAGAAATGGGTTTCTAGGCGGGATCTGAAGGAGGAGAGAGGCCAGTAGGCCACTGAGAAGAGGGAAATTTTGTCTTTACTGCCCCTGTACCCCTAAAAGTTCCCTCTGTTGCCACCACGGGTTCAGTTCCATTGCAGGTAGCAATAATGAGAATCCCTGGTGTTTTAACCACTGTGTCTTGCAGACCTGATCCGGGTGATAAAACCAATGGCAGCTAGTCTCTACTACAGCTGTCGGCACCGTCGTTACACCAGCATTGGCAAGAGTGGTAAAGAGAGACGCTCTCGTAAACGTAGCCAGAGTCCTGGACGTTCTAGAACAGGTTTGAAAGTCGCTGTGCTTGAACAAAAAAACTTCAGAGAGAAACCGCAGAACTAAAATTCATTTGCAGATTTAACACCATTAATTTGGGCTTGAATAGGGACTGGGAATGGCTGGCTCTTTACAAAAGCAGCTTTGCCTCTCCTGGAATTGACACCTCCTCGTCCACTGTTGGGAGTGGACACCATCCACCCTGATCGAATTGGCCCTGTCAGCAGTGGGTCTCCATTTGCGAGGTAACTCCCTTCTCTTCATGTGCCAGTATATTTATGTCTGCGTCTGTAATTTTCACTCCATGCATCTGAAGAAGTGGGGTTTTTACCCACAAAAGCTTATGCTCAAATAAATCTGTTAGTCTTTAAGGTGCCACCAGACTCCTTGTTGCTTTTGTGGATATGGACTATCACGGCTACCCCCTGATACTTGATAGCCAGAGTGTGCCCCAGGCATAGGGGGCGGCATGAATGCAGAGGTGAATCTGCGGGTGGGAAAAGGAGCAGAAGGAAGGGGACCTGCAAGCAGTGAGAGATAGGTGGGGGCAAAAGCGCCAATGAAAGTGAGTGCTCACGCCCCCTCCCCGAATCCGCGCCCCAGCCCTGCGTCTTCCCCCAGCGTGCTGCGTTCTTCCTCCTCGCCCCTCCCTCCCAGCGCTTGCCTTGAGAAACAGGTGTTTCGCAGTGCAAGTGCTGGGAGGGGGAGGGGGGAGGAAGCAGGATGTGGCGGCCCACTCAGGGGAGGAGGCAGAGGTGAGCTGGGGTGGGGGGGGCGGGTTGGGGAGCTGCTGGTGGGTGCAGAGCACCCACCAGTTTTTCCCCATGGGTGCTTCAGCCCCAGAGCACCCCCGGAGTCGGCGCCTATGGGTGGGGGGCGAGATTGGTGAGTACAAGGAGCCTAGATTCGATGTGGCAAGAGATGGGAAAGATTCAAGATGGGGGGCCTGGACTGAAGCAGGTGGAATGTGGGTGGAGGGCAGGAAGATGACTTTAGCAGCAGTTTTTGGACAGACTAAGGAGGAGAAGATGATTGTGTTCAAAGGCAGGGGGATTCAGCTTGGGGTGAGTGCTGCAGCAGCTGGGTTAATGAAAAAGGGCCGATGTTAAGGAAGCAGTGATTGAGATTTAGCAAGAATTTGGCTGTGGAGGAGAAAGAAAGCCGAGGCAAAGATGATCCAAGATTCTGGCCTGGGAGGTGGGGTGAACAGAAAAGTTTTAAAACAACTGATCTGAACCTAGACTTAATTTTGGTTCTAAAATTGGTTCCAGGACCTGAGCTCATTCCACCTCCTCCCCCCGGGTTTCCCTTTCCTCTGCTGCCCTCAAGTGATTTAGACTAAGGCCTTGCCCACAGGGGCGAAATTGACCATGTCCTGAAATTGCTTTCTCACTCTCAGTCTGAAAGGGTTTCAGGAACCTGGTTACTTCGGCTGCTCCTGGTGATGGTTTTCAATAATCATGATAAAAAAAAAAAAAAGTTCTGCCCTGTCTAAGCTGGGCAGCAGAAGCCAGCAAAGCAGGTTCTCCTGAAACCATTTTTAAGAGCTGTAAGCGAAAAATGGTTTGCGAACGCTGTCGTTTCCGAGTGCTGGAGCCTACTGCAATGTAAGGAATCCAGCTGCCTGATCTGGTTTGGGTAATTATGGCTGCAGGAGGAATCAAAGACCTCTCGGGGCCTAATTCAAGTCCTGGCAGGTAGAAAGTATTTTAAATAAGCTTTAAAATGCATTAGCCATATGCATGGTTCTTAAGCCTACACAAATTTCATCGGAGAGCTCTAATGGCTAATGAGACAGCTTTGTAAAGAAGTATAGCTGTGCTCACTGGACACCAACTGACTTTAAGATGCATAATCCACATATTTAAAATTATTTGATCAGTGCATTTCTGTTCTGCCGATCCTGGGAGGTGCTGAGCCCTTGCAGCTCCCAATGGACTTTTCTGGCTCAGGCGCTAAACTCGTATGGCAGTTTAATGTGTGTAAAATGCTTTGAAGATGAAAGACACTGTGTAAATGTTAACAAATATTAGAGAATCATATAATTAACAGGCATCAGTGCCTCTCTCCTCTCTCTCTCTCCCTTCAAGGGGGAGAGGAGTGACTTTACCAGCTCTGTGTCCCCCACAACCCATTTGAAGGGTTCCTCTGTGTTCCTAAAATCCTGAAGCGAGGGAGTTTCACTCCAGCTTTTCACGAGTATGAACAATATGGAGCTTGAATGAGCCAGTTGACTTCAGTTCTCCTTAAAGTTTATCCTCTTGGTAGGTGGTATTTTCTGAATGTAAATATTTTATTCCTCTATTGCGACACAAAAAGCCTTAGGATGTAGTTTGAATTTTAGTTTACTTTATTGGGGGATCCAGGATTTCACTGCCCCTAAGATTTTAGAATGGCAACAAACTAACACCCCTGTGCCTCCCAAATATGGGGAAGGGTCCGGATCTGAGCTTCTCCTTTTATGATGAGATTACTGGTTCTGTGGATGAAGGGAAAGCAGTGGATGTATTGTATCTTGACTTTAGCAAAGCTTTTGACACGGTCTCCCACAGTATTCTTGTCAGCAAGTTAAGGAAGTATGGGCTGGATGAATGCACTATAAGGTGGGTAGAAAGCTGGCTAGATTGTCGGGCTCAACGGGTAGTGATCAATGGCTCCATGTCTAGTTGGCAGCCGGTATCAAGTGGAGTGCCCCAAGGGTCGGTCCTGGGGCCGGTTTTGTTCAATATCTTCATAAATGATCTGGAGGATGGTGTGGATTGCACTCTCAGCAAATTTGCGGATGATACTAAACTGGGAGGAGTGGTAGATACGCTGGAGGGCAGGGATAGGATACAGAAGGACCTAGACAAATTGGAGGATTGGGCCAAAAGAAATCTGATGAGGTTCAATAAGGATAAGTGCAGGGTCCTGCACTTAGGATGGAAGAATCCAATGCACCGCTACAGACTAGGGACCGAATGGCTAGGCAGCAGTTCTGCGGAAAAGGACCTGGGGTGACAGTGGACGAGAAGCTGGATATGAGTCAGCAGTGTGCCCTTGTTGCCAAGAAGGCCAATGGCATTTTGGGATGTATAAGTTGGGGCATAGCGAGCAGATCGAGGGACGTGATCATTCCCCTCTATTCGACATTGGTGAGGCCTCATTTGGAGTACTGTGTCCAGTTTTGGGCCCCACACTACAAGAAGGATGTGGATAAATTGGAGAGAGTCCAGCGAAGGGCAACAAAAATGATTAGGGGTCTAGAACACATGACTTATGAGGAGAGGCTGAGGGAGCTGGGATTGTTTAGCCTGCAGAAGAGAAGAATGAGGGGGGATTTGATAGCTGCTTTCAACTCCCTGAAAGGGGGTTCCAAAGAGGATGGCTCTAGACTGTTCTCAATGGTAGCAGATGACAGAACGAGGAGTAATGGTCTCAAGTTGCAGTGGGGGAGGTTTAGATTGGATATTAGGAAAAACTTTTTCACTAAGAGGGTGGTGAAACACTGGAATGCGTTACCTAGGGAGGTGGTAGAATCTCCTTCCTTAGAGGTTTTTAAGGTCAGGCTTGACAAAGCCCTGGCTGGGATGATTTAACTGGGAATTGGTCCTGCTTCGAGCAGGGGGTTGGACTAGATGACTTTCAGGGGTCCCTTCCAACCCTGATATTCTATGATTCTATGATTCTCCAGTGTTTGGGTGTGTTTGGATCTAGGATTTGGATTCAACTTGTGACAGTAATAGGGACCATTCTTAAAGTCTGGAGGAGCTTTGGTTTGGACTGATCTCTCGTTTGTATAAACTATTAAAATATTTAATATGTCATATGAATAGACTAGATCAGTCAATGTGGATTATCAGCCGAAGCTGCGTTGATGTCCCCAGACTGGGGCTGCCTGGTTTGGGGTGAAGGGTAGGGCCCATCACCAATGGTCAGGAAGGATTTGTGCTTCACCAGAGATCACTCCTGGACAGGTTTAAAAGCTTTGCTTCCTTGAAAATTATTTCACTGTGATTTAAAACTGATTTGCAAACACTTGGGCTACTTTTCACCTTGGAAAGACTTCAGGGAAGGGAATGCCTAGAGGTAGATGATAGCTTGGTGGGCTTTGAAAAAAGCCCTGGGGTCTGATGCTGCTGCCATTGAAAGAATGGCCAAACCTCTGTTGGCAGGAGCAGGGCTGAGATGGATCTTTGTTTGGCTGCACATCTTCTTGCTGGCAGCAGAGTTTGTGTTGCTGAACTCCTCCTTGTAGGAGGTAATTGGTCAGCCACAGAGGAGCTGTTTGAGCAACAAGAACGAGATCTGACCCGTGTGAGCAAATGTCTCCCATGCTCCTAGCTTCCACCGTAAGACCTGCTGCAGCACCACGGGCAGGCCGGTGCCTCTTCTGATGGGGACTATATCGTCTCACTTGCAGCCCCAGACCGGGCAGCACATGGGATTGGTTGCATTGTGTTGAAAGGCCAAGCAGTCCCCAGAGGAGCAGGACTGAATGCAGCACAGCAAAGCTTGTGCAATTTTATCTTCAGTCCTGTTGCAACTGGAAATAGGCCCATGAAAATTAGGAGCCAGATTTCAAACAGCCCCCTAGTTTGGGCATATTAGGGCTCAATATAAAGGTGGGGGAACGTGTAAAATTCAAGCTCAGATGTGAGTGCAGGTTTCAAAGATCCCCTAAATGTTGAGGGTTTTCGGATCTGAGCTTCGGTGTGGGACGTTCCCTGGTCATGATGTTCATTTAAACACTTCTATGGATACTAAGCTTCTCCTTGTCCTTTGAGGAGAAGCTTAGTATCCATAGAAGTGTTTAAATGAACACTCCTTGTCCTCTCCTGGCCTGACCCATCTGCAGCCTCCGTGTGTGATCAGGCTCTTCTGCTGCCAAAGGATTCAACCCCCTTGCTCCGGCTGGTAATTCTCAAAGCAGATGTTACTGGCGCGTCATTGTTTATACTGCAGGCCATTCCTTCCTGCTGCTCTTACGCACACATTCCATCCTTGGCCCAAGGAACTGAATGCTAACTCTGTTTTTTTTTTAATCCCCAAAGGAGGCAAGAGTAACAATAACAGTGATGAGTTACACTACTGAGGATGGCTTGCCTTGCTAGCCCCACTTGCCTCTGTTGTCTTAGGCGTCCATCTGGAAAGTCCTGTGTGGGACCGAATGGCCTGATCCAGTGCCATTCTGCACTCCCACAACTCCCATTGACTGTGTCAAGTTCAGCCTGTCACTGAGCTCGGCCTGTTAACAGTCCCTAGGTCTGGACCCAGCATGGAGGGGCGTTGCTGGGCTACATGAACAATCTTTTCTGTGATCACAAGCTCAGCAGAATGACATTACAGCTTCCATAGTGTCTGCAGCAGTGACCATATTACAAACATGTAATAGCCGGCATGATCAGGAGCTGTGAAAACTGGCAAGCCATAACATTCGGCAAAGGTATCCATTCAAATGACCAAACTCTTATTGTCAAATATCCCCTACTTTGCTGTGCCAGCTTCAGAGCAGCATAACCGATAAGGGAATCAGGACAGGCTGGAATCAAAGCCCCAGTAAGGACACATAGCATTTATGTAGGTATCCCTCAAGTGCTGTTTTGGAGATCCTGTGTTATATGCGGTGAGCACAAAATAAAACGAATGTGCAATTCAGTTTCGTTTCTTTTGCAATTGTCTTGATCTATCGTGTTTGTAGTGTAGTTGTAGCCATGATGTTGGTCCCAGAAAATGAGAGATGCAAGGTGGGTGAGGTGGTATCTTTTGTTGGACCAAACTCTTTCGGTGAAAGAGACAAGCTTTTGAGCTCTGCAGAGCTCTTGTTCACAGCTGGGAAAGACACTGGGAGACACTCCAATTACCTTTCCCAGACCTGAAGAAGAGCTCTGCGGAGCTCAAAAGCTTGTCTCTTTCACCAACAGAAGTTGGTCCAACAAAAGATATTGCCACACCCACCTTGTCCCTCTCTTAATCTACCATGTTCGATTCCAGTTTGCTGCATCATATGACAAACAGCACTTGTTGGGTTTCATCCAGTGGCTGAAACAACAGCTGAGTGGGTTTACATTGGGTCTAATCAGGTTAGTACTGTGTGTTTGTTTAGAGGATCTGGTATCTTGCTGCAATAGGCTGAGTACAAAAACCTCAAGACCATTAATTGTAAACATATGACAAAACTTCCCCTTTACACTTCACTTTATTTGTGTTTTTAGGTGCAATGTTTTTGACAAACCTTTTAAAAATCAACTAGCTTTAAGGAAAAATTTCTGCCCTGCTCCTCTTACTGGTGCCATGGTGATGGACCCAGCAGTGGAGGATAATTGGGTTACACAGGAGCACAGATCCACCCTGATGGAACACACGTCAGGAGTAGGGTGCTAGTTTTTAACTCCTAGTTTACAAACGTTCTCCCCTTACCCAATCTGCAAAGCAATTGAGAAATCCCTCCCTCCCTGCCTCCCATCTTTATGCAATGTTGGGCTTGGCTTTGTCTGTTGCCCGTTTATAACAATAAATAGGAGCCATTTGTCCCATAGCTAGCCCATCGTGCGGAAGAGAAATTCACCCTGAGGCAGAGAGCATGTGCATGACCATCTGCCTTTCCGAAAGCTTTAACAAGTAAAATGTGGGGGCTTCATCACCCTCTGCTGTGGGGTGAACTTAACCTTTGTTAAATGGAGTCAGTAAAAACAGATGCAAACCTAGTGCGTGGTGTAAACCTTCCACCGCCCCCAGTGGCATGATGATTTCAAGGCAGGGCTGGGCTATGCTTAGGGGGCCTGAGCACCCCCACGCTATGCATAGTAAATAATTCTATGATGAGGGGGGAGGGGGAAGCAGGGTGGAGCTCAGGCAGAATGGGTGTCTTTGTACAGCACCTAGGATGGTGGCAGGCCATGCTTGGGGGGCCTGTGCACTACCATGCTAGAGCCTCGGTGCTCCCCGCTCCCGGCTACGCCTTGCTCCGTCCTGCCTCCCCACCCACAGTGGGCCTGACCGATCCCTCTGGGAGCTTATCGCAGCGCCGCAGCTGCTTCCCGGGCCGCCGCCCCTTCTCCTTCTGACTGCTCCCAGGGGGGCGGGACCTGGTACCGCTAGGTACAGCTGCCCCGAGAGCCGCCCTGCCCTGTAATTATTGACTGCTCATCGTGTGGGTGTGCACAGGACCCCTTTGTGCTCGGTGCTGTACAAACACACCCATTCTGCCTAAATTCCACCCTCCTCCTCCCTCATCACAGAATTATTTACTGTGCATGGGGGGGGGGACAAGGACCCCTTAAGCATGGCCCAGCCCCTGCTCCCCCCCCGGCTGCTAGGCGCTGGATAAACACATGCGGCCTGAGCTGCACCCCGCCCCCTTTGTGAGATTGTTGACTTCTCATAGTTCCGCCGCGCGGGGGCGGGTCCCTGGGACGCCTCGCTCCGCAGCGCCCAATTAGGGACCGGGGCGCCGGGCGCGCGCGCGGAGAGCCGAGTCTAACCCCGCCCCTCGCTGCGGCCGCGCGGGGCAGGGGCGGGGCCTAGCCGGCCGCTGTGATTGGCCCCTCTCCCGGCCAGCTCGCCCCCCCCCCCGTGCCGGGCGGGAAGGGAAGCTGCTCGGCGGGAGAGGTCGTTGGCCGCCGCTAGCCCGGTGAGGGCCGGTGCGGGGCGTTTGTGCGGGAGCTCGCCGCCGTTCAGAGCCCCCCGGAGGAGCCATGGGCGGGGGGCTCAGAGCAGGGGGCCTCAGGAGGGGCTGGGAGCGAGGGGGCGGGGGGCTCAGAGGGGGGGCTCAGGAGGGGCTGGGGGCGGGGGGGCTCAGGCGGGGGGGGCTCAGGAGGGGCTGGGACCGAGGGGGCGGGGGGCTCAGAGCGGGGGGGCTCAGGAGGGGCTGGGGGCGGGGGGGGCTCAGAGCGGGGGGCTCAGGAGGGGCTGGGAGCGAGGGGGCGGGGGGCTCAGAGCGGGGGGGCTCAGGAGGGGCTGGGAGGAGGGGGCTCAGGAGGGGCTGGGAGCGAGGGGGCGGGGGGCTCAGAGCGGGGGGGCTCAGGAGGGGCTGGGAGCGAGGGGGTGGGGGGCTCAGGAGGGGCTGGGAGCGGGGGGCTCAGGAGGGGCTGGGAGCGAGGGGGTGGGGGGGCTCAGGAGGGGCTGGGGTGAGGTGGGTTGCGAGGCTGGGATGAGGCACGGATGGGGAGCTGGGGGGCTCAGAGCGGAGGGCTCAGGAAGAGCTGGGAGTAAGGGAACGGGGGGCTCAGGAGGGGCTGGGAGCAAGGGGGTGGGGGGTCAGGAGGGGCTGGGTGCGAGGGGGCGGGGGGCTCAGAGCGGGGGGGCTCAGGAGGGGCTGGGAGCGAGGGGGGGGGGGGCTCAGAGCGGGGGGGCTCAGGAGGGGCTGGGAGCGAGGGGGCGGGGAGCTCAGAGCGGGGGGGTTCAGGAGAGGCTGGGAGCGAGGGGGCAGGGGGCTCAGAGCGGTGGGGCTCAGGAGGGGCTGGGAGCGAGGGGGTGGGGGGCTCAGGAGGGGCTGGGGTGAGGTGGGTTGCGAGGCTGGGATGAGGCACGGATGGGGAGCTGGGGGGCTCAGAGCGGAGGGCTCAGGAAGAGCTGGGTGTAAGGGAACGGGGGGGCTCAGGAGGGGCTGGGAGCAAGGGGGTGGGGGGCTCAGGAGGGGTGGGTGGAGGGGGCGGGGGGCTCAGAGCGGGGGGGCTCAGGAGGGGCTGGGAGCGAGGGGGCGGGGGGCTCAGGAGGGGCGGGGAGCTCAGGGGGGGGTTCAGGAGAGGCTGGGAGCGAGGGGGCAGGGGGCTCAGGAGGGGCTGGGAGCGAGGGGGGGGGGGCTCAGGAGGGGCTGGGGTGAGGTGGGTTGCGAGGCTGGGATGAGGCACGGATGGGGAGCTGGGGGGAGCGGAGGGCTCAGGAAGGGCTGGGAGTAAGGGAACGGGGGGGCTCAGGAGGGGCTGGGAGCAAGGGGGGGGGGGCTCAGAGCGGGTGGGCTCAGGAGGGGCTGGGAGCGAGGGGGTGGGGGGCTCAGGAGGGGCTGGGAGCGGGGGCTCAGGAGGGGCTGGGAGCGAAGGGGCGGGGGGCTCAGGAGGGGCTGGGGTGAGGTGGGTTGCGAGGCTGGGATGAGGCACGGATGGGGAGCGGGGGGCTCAGGAAGGGTGGGAGTAAGGGGCGGGGGGCTCAGGAGGGGCTGGGAGCAAGGGGGCGGGGGGCTCAGAGCGTGGTGGGCTCAGGAGGGGCTGGGAGCAAGGAGGTGGGGGGCTCAGGAAGGGTTGGGGTGAGGTGGGTTGCGAGGCTGGGATGAGGAGCGGATGGGGAGCTGGGGGCTCAGGAAGGGCTGGGAGCAAGCAGCAGTGGGCGGGGGGAGCACGCAAGGGGCTTATCCAGCCTGTTCTTGAACATCTGGAGTGGTGGGGAGCGCCCCCCCACCTCCCTTAGCATCTGTCCTGGGAGTTCAAAAGTTTTCCTACCAGCTCACCTAGATCTCCCTTGCTGCCCATCAAGCCCATTACTCCTTGTCCTGCCTTCACAGGCTGCTGAGAACAATCGGTCTCTTTTTCACAGCCCCTCACATATGTGATGGCTGCTATCCCGTCCCCCCTCAGTCTCCAGACTAGGTGTGCCCAGGTTATTTTAACCTTTCTTCATAGGTCAGGTTTCTAAACGTTTTATCATGTTTGTTGAGCTCCTCTGGACTCGCTTCAGTTTGTCCCCATCTTTCCTATGGTGCGGTGCCCAGAAATGGGTCCAGTACTCCAGCTGTGGCCTCCCCAGTGCTGAATAGAGTGGGACAGTTACCGCCCATATCTTCCATGTAACCTCCAGATCCTTTCCAGCAGTACTACCACCCTGGTCTTTTATTTGAATTTTTCCTTTCTACATAAAATACGTTGCACTTATCTCTATTGAATTTCGTCTTGTTGAATTCAATCACTTCTCCAATTTAAGGTCCTTTTGAATTCTAATCCTGTCTGCCAGAGTGCTTGCAACATGTCCCAGCTTGATGTCATCTCCAGAATTTATAAGCATGCTCTCCAGTTCATTTTCTAAGTTGTTAATGAAAATCTTGAATATTATTAGACCCAGGACTGACCCCTTAGGGATCCCATGAGATATGTCCTCCCAGTTTGACAGTGAACCATGGAAAACCATGCTGCATGTGGTCTTTCAACCAGTTGTGCACCCACCTTATAATAATTACATATAGATGGCATTTCCCTAGTTTGCTTATCAAAATGTCATGTGAAATTGTGTCAAAAACCTTATTAAAATCAAGATATATCCCCTCTACAGCTTTCCCCCCCCCCCCCATCCACTAGGCTAGTAAACCTGACAAAGTCATGCTGGCTAGTCTTTATAACTGTTATCCTCTAGGTACTTACAGATTGATTGTTCAATAATTTGTTCTAGCACCTTTCCAGGTATCAAAGTTAGGCTGACTGGACTATAATTCCCTGGGTCCTCTTTGTTCCCCTTTTTAAAGATAAGGTATTATGTTTGCCCTTCTTCAGTCTTCTAGGACCTTAACTATCCTCCATGAGTTCTCAAGATAATTGCTAATGGTTCTCAGATTGCTTCATCTAGTTTATTAAGAACCAAAGGATGAATTTCAGCAGGCCTTGTCAACTTGAATACATATAACTTTATATAAATATTCTTTAACCTGTTCTTTCCCTATTTTGGCTTATGTTCCTTCCCCCTTGTTGTTAATATTGTGTTGAGTATCTGCTCACCCTTAACCTTTCCAGGGAAGACTGAAGCAAATAGGCATTAAATACCTCAGCCTTCTTGATGTCATCAGTTATTTGCTCTCCTTTCCCACTAAGTTGAGGACCTACACTTTCCTTCATCTTTCTCCTAATATGTTTAAAGAATCTCTTCTTACTGGGTTTTATGTCCCCTGGCATGTGTAACTCCTTTTATGCTTGAGCCTTTCTGATTTTGTCCCTACATGCTTGTGCTGTTTTTTTGTACGCCACCGTGGCAATTTGTCCATGTTTCCACTTTTTGTAGGATTCCTTTTTGATTTTCAGGTCATTAAAGAGCTGCTGATGGAGCCTTATTGGCCTTCCTATGCCCCTTTCTCTCGCACTGCCCTGGGCCATAGGCCCTTGTCTCATCTCCTCCCTGCAGATCAGCTATTGACCATTCACCGTGGCCCTGTTTAAAACACAACAGTGCATGCAGCACCAGTATAGACATGCAGCTTCTGAGCTACTTCACAGGATATGTTCAGGTTGCAGCCATGGTGTGTGATTGCAACTTGAGCAGACATACCCCGGGCTAGGTAGTTTGGGTCCTGGAACAGTGAAGCAAAAGCAGTATAAGCTTCAGTGTGGACTAGGGCTCCCTCCCCCCTCCGAAAGTAACTACCCAGGTTTCTGGGCAAGTTCGTACAGCTAGTGCTGCCATGGTTTTGCTGCTCTGGGACTTGAGCTAGCTAGATGAGAGCTAGCTTGGGTACATCTCAGTTATTGCAATATATACATACCCACCGTGTGGCAGGTCTCACTGAAGCTAGGCGAACTCCAGTGTAGATAACTCCTATTAATTCTGCAGTGAAGCCATAGCCTCAAGTGTTTCCAGCAATTATAAATCCAGCTGTGCTAAGAACTGTGTGAAAGAGAAGCAGCAAAAGTTTTTAGGAGCAGCCAGTTACAAAGCACATCATCAAAATAATTATTTGGCACTTATACAGTAGATCTCAAAGGGCTTTCCAAGCAGTTACCAAATTATCCCTTGCTAAATGGGGTGCAAAGGATGAAATAACTTGCCCAAGGTCTCACAGTGAGTCAGTTTCGTATCGCTGTTGCCCACTCTCCCACTACTGCACTGGAAATTGTTCCTGTCCTCGCACAGAGTATATACAAGAACACTGCTAATGATGCTCTAGCCTGCCTTCTTATTTCACGCTGCAGCAGGTCCCTCATTATTTGTATACAGAAAAAGGATCAGCCATGAAATGTGTAAGAAAAAGAAGCACTGCGGAGCAGTTCGAGACTTGTGGCATCTGGCTGGACACTGCAAAGTTAAAGAAGCGCAAAATACAGGTAATAAATCTGTACTGTTTGTGATGTCATAGCTTTGTACAGCTCTTTACAAACCTAGTACACAATGTTCTCTGCCCTCAGGAGTTTACAATCCAAGTTAGAGGGCTCACATGCAGGGATGATATAGCATGGGAACAAGAGATTGGCAGAAGAAGCAGCTTAGAGTATTTTTACCTCTCCTTTTTTTAAAATGAGCCATCACTGAATTGTCTCAGACGTGGCAGAGGGGAGTATCCTAATAGAGACTAGCAGTGCAAAGAAGCAAGGAAAAAAGGTGAAGAGGTAGGAAATGTGGCTTATTGGGGAAGAGGGTTGTTCAAGCAGTGTGATACAACTGTAGACGAAAGGAGATAAAGGGAATAACAAGTAGAGGGGAGTTATGTCACTGTTAACAAGTTAAATTCACTCTAGCACTTCTCTCCCCACCCAGACTCTTGTATCCAAGCCAACTTCAAACACGCCAAATCCACTTCTTGAGAGGAACTGTAATAGTCACATTTCAGTTAATTTTACTCAGACAAGACTTTCTCAGCCATACACCAGGCAAACTACCATCTCTTCGTTCTTCAGCATTCAACCAACAGGTACTGTAGAGCAATTTTTGTGCGCTCACACACGCCCACACACACAACTTTTTAATATGGCAAAGTTATAGTGAAACATTATATCATGCTACATTATATGTTACTTATTCAGGATCAGGTTAATATTCACAGAACCTGGCTAAAAATTATGGCTTGCTGGCTGGGGAGTCTTCCTCCTCTGAGTACACTCGAAAGATTGACCAAATCTCTGTGCATACATATATATATATATATTTTCCTGACAGGACAGAAAAACCACCTAGTCTCATTTTAAGGCATTTTGCACGGGCAGAGACAGAGAATGCCTTTACTAGTGTGCAGTTAGGAGTCTGGACACTTTCCAGCATTGCTTCTGTCAGGTAGCCTAAAGTAGATTAGAGGCTAAATAGCATGGGATGGGTAAATCTGACCCAAAATGAACAAAGACCATTCAGATCCATTCCCACGTTTGCCAGATTGTATTCCCTACTAACGTTAAAGGCTGGGATTAACCTAAAAGAATTAGGTGCCAAATTCATCCCATGTGTTTTTATAAATTTGGAACTGATGCTACACTGATGTTCACTGTTTGTGCAACACTCCCATTGATTTAAACAGGAGCATTGTGCTGTGGAAGGGCTACAGGATCAGGACCTTTATTGGGAAGGGTAGCATGTTAACCCTGAAGTCTTGAAGCTGAGAGGAAATGGTAGGGGAAGGAGTGTACTCATACTATGGACACATCTCTAATTGGTTTAGTCAACTGGGTCCATCTAGTGTCGTTGAATTTTATCTAACATGGTATTTCAGCTCAGAAACGCTGACTGTGAGCTAAGCCATGGCTCAGTTTATGATGAAAAGTGCTTTTTACATTTGTGTGCTCTGGCTGTTGGAGCGAGCACAACAATGGCCTGTGGGGAGCTGAGCCTAGTAATCTTGCATGATATTTGTTTAAACACATGCACACATTACTCTGAGTGAGTCTGATTTTTATTTGTCTCGAGTGGGCCGGGCTTGTAGTAGTGCCATTCAGCCTCTGCTTATGCTTTGTGCTGTTTCCTGCTCCCTGTGGATTTACTGCATGAAGGCCACTATCCTTTCATTCAGTATAGATTCCGATGGCAAGATTTAGAGACTTCCCTGCAGTAATTTCTACAAAGTTTTCTATTGCTGTGTAAATATTAACTCTTTATTCTGAAATTGAGAAAGAGCTAGAATCTTGAGGTAGGATTTAGAAATTACACTATTTCAAATGGTTTCAAAAGCAGAAGACTTATTCTGTTGTTTCTTTCCTCCGTTTGAAGAGATGATGAGGTGTCTGGAAAATTTTACAGTTCAGTTTTCCACATTCCTTGTGCATCACTAATTTCGAAAAGTGGAGCATCTTCTAGTAGTTAATCAATCACACCACTTTGTATCAGAGGAAGATTTATTAAATCTTAATTTCTATTGCACTATTCATTGCTAAAGCACTTCACAAATATACAGTGTCCTCAGAATCACTGCAGCCACCTTAGGTGTGGAAAGCAGAGGCATTACATAACTGTTAAATGGCACATCCTATTGAAAGTGTAAGGGGAACTTAAGGTAGGTGGAATGGCTTTACTCAAGTTGGAATTTGACTCTTCGTGGGAGGGAGGCCTGAGGAAGAGACAGAGCACCAAGGGGAGCTTGGAACTGCTCAGATGTCACTTCACTTCTCCCTCATGAGAGGCAGAACTTGCTTGACTGTCCTCTTGCTTCACATATTTCACTAATTTCTACAAGGAGGTAGAGCTATTAGGATGATGTGAAACAGGGGAGAGTCTGGTCATGTCCAAATTAGTTAAAGGAGGGGTGGGGCACAGTGTAGAGTTATGGGAGAGGCATAATTGTGTGGTCGCTCATCTTGAGTTTGAAAAGCTTGCATATCAGCTGTGTTGTCTTATTCAAATACATTGTTTTTTCCAGGTGAAAAGGATGATGAAGAAAACTTAAAGCCATATCCTCTTATGTCAAATAAAACACACCTAGGAAAAGGCTCTGATTTCTTGGCTGCCTCCTCTATGAAGAACTCGGGAGCTGCTAAGTTAGAGGAAGTCCAGGCACCAACCTTGAGCCCTCAGGAGGACAACATTCAGGAGTGTAGCCAGCTGCTTGTACAAAACACACAAGGCTTGAGCATTCCCCTGGTGAACTATAACTTCCCACAAGCACAGGCTAACGGCAGGAGTGAGCGCACAGCCATTGCAAGGACCTCCGCTGGTGAGACAGAAGACTCTGTCTCCATAAACTTCACCCAGGATTCAGAGGGCAATAGGGTTCTGGCTCATAGGAATTCAGCTGACTCATTCACTGGAAGTGTTTCTGTAACAAATGGGATAATTTCAAGCAAGAGCGAGAGTTATTGGATAGGTGAGAAAGAGGCTCATTTGTCCTCCAAGAGGGGGATAACTAGAGTGGGTCTCAAACCTAAACACCTGATGAAGCAAGGTAGGAGGAGATGCAAAAACCTGCCCCCTCGTGGAATTTCTTTCATGGATTTCTCAGAGGTTGAGAATATAAGTCCTGTTCCCAAGGGTAACGAAGGCCAGCAGACCAATTGTCCTCTCTCCCAGGGGCGAAAAGCTAAAACAGAGCTTTTGAGAGACAGTAGTCAAAATTTTGCTGACTTTTGGACAAGAAATTCTCACAATATGGCTGGTTCAGCAGGAGAGCAGGGGGACAGTAAGAGTAGTCCTACCACACAGTTGTTTACCCAGGATTCAGAGGGATACAGAGTCATTTCTCACCAGTGCTTCTATGAGAATGTCAGATCTCCTTTGCAGAAAAAGTATCTACAGGACAAAACCAATTTTGTCCAGAGGGTGCCTAGCCCACCCTCTGTGGATTGCTTTAAAGTTTATTCTTCAGGGGCATTGGACAGGACTCCTTTAGCTACTACAGCCATTAATTTATGTGAGCCTGAGTCATGCTATGATTTGCTATTCACAGAGGATTCAGAAGGAAATAGAATTATCAAACATTGATTCAGTAGTAATTTTTTTCTGAATAAATGGGCTGCTGAAAAATTGACATTTTTTAATGTATGTGAAAATTCCTCTGCAGCCTCCACAGTGCATCACTTTCTTTAAGATACAAGGACTGTGTAAGCGTACACCTTGCATATATGGCCTTTGGCTACGAGTGGTATAGACCCACACACACAGGCTATTTATGCTGCATGCAGAATTGTTGTTGATTAAAAAGAGATTATACATGTGCAAATAAAGTGATAATTTTATAGCAAGATGGGTTGTAATCAAGTTTCCACATCTGCTCCTACCCGTGCCCTGCTCATATGAACATAGGGACCATGTTGTCAAACATTGTATCTGTGTGACACCATCTATTTGCATGTTTGGCAAGGCTCTGGTTAGTGGTGGTGCTATATAAAAGGAAGCATGAAGGGTACTTCAATCCCACATTTGAAGAATAAGGACCTGTTACTTATTCAAGGGAAAAGAGACACCTTGCCATTGATTTGAATATTGCAGTATGTCTCAGAAGTCAGAGTCCACAAGCCTGAGGATCCACACTGTGTAGTCTAGTGTCTCACAACACATCTACAGGTGGATTATCTGCCCCCCCAAATTTAGGTTCAGCTGCCCAGTCAAGTGTTTAATCATAACACAGTTAGCTTGTGGAATTCACTGGTAGAGGATGTCACTAAAAGAGTCAAAAATGGACTGGACATGTATATAGCTAAGAACAGCCCTGAGAATATTTAAAAACAAGTTTGTAAAGGACACAGAGCCTCTTGTGTCAGCAGACAAAACAACCCCTAATTGACTAGTGTTATGAGCACTGGATCGAAGTTGCAAGCAACTTCCTATGAAGCATGTGGTACTGGTTACTTGACTAGATGGACCCCATGGTCTGCTGTATGGTAATTGTTACTATAGCAACAGAACAATATTTTGACTTAAAGGGAGTATGCACGCTATAATGCTTCTTAAGGGGCACAGTTGTCAGCTATACATGTCCCTTCATTAAATTAGTAAGATTAAGCTACTTTGCTCAAAAGAAAAATCAAAGATCATCATCAGAAACTGTAGTTGTACCATCCCCACCCAAGGCAGCTGGTGTGGAGAAGGAAGAGGAGATGTACATAACAGGCATTTTAGACCTTGCAAGCCAAAGTTTGTAGCTGTGTACAGGGAGGGATCCTAGACGTTCAGTACTAATTGTGACTGCCACCAGCGTGCTTAAATAAAGCAAGAGTGCAGTGGCAGGTTTACTTATTTTAAAATAGAAACCTTGACCGTACCACTATTGCCAGATCTGGCTTCACAATCTGCAGGGCCCCACAACTGCCACAGTAAGGAGGGACAGCAAGAAAGTCAGTGTGTGACTTTTCTTGCTGGCCCTACCACCAGGGGCTTCTAACAGAGCAAGCTTCCTCCCTCTCTAAGCCAGTTACTGGCTGCAGGAGCGAATCTGGACTTGAAGTGAGGTTTTCCCCACACTGGTCACACCACCAGTGTAGGGAAGAATCTGGCTTAGGTACATTTGCATCTGTTTGGGGAGAGAGAGGCCAATTCACCCCATTCAGAAGCAGCATGATAGTATAGGGCAGGAAGATCACACAAAAGTGCAATCATTTGCATTAGCTGACCCTGTATTGTCACTTTTATGTGGGACTAGGCTCCCATGTTTTCCTCTGACAATACAGTATGGCCACAGCTGTGTAGATACAGATGCATTTTTGGGAAAACATGGCTAATCTTCCCTATTGACTCAGCAGAGGATTGCGTGTGTGTGTGTATAGAATTGTGCAATGGACCGTTGGAATATTATTCCACACCAAGGACTAAAATATGTGCCAGCCAGGCCACCCAGTTATACTCTCCCATCCTACAGAAGTGGTGATAAGTAGGACCTAATGGGGTTAGATACCAACTGTGTGTGGTGTGTTTCAGGCAGAATGACAATGTCATGTATAGTTTCCTGCAGCACAAATATTGTGGGAATTATGGTGTGGGAGCTGCTCACTCACCCCATTCCTGACACCCAATATTTTAAATAGGCATGCATTGAATTTTCAATTCTCTGCTGAGTTGCAAGGACAGTAGAGTGACTTCACAAGAAAGCAACACAGGAGAGACTAGGAAGAGGGAGCCACAGGACCCAGTAACTGCAGATAGACAGATGTCAAGTTGAGGCAACATGCAGCATGGTGATTCATGCCCTCTGCTGCAGCAGAAACAGCCCAAAACACCAATACTCTGCTATGAGCAACGTTTCAGATACCAGTACAAGCAGACAGAACCAGTCCTCCAAAAAAACCCAGCACAGCTGTTGACTATTGAGGAAACCTGCAAATATCATTGGAGAACTAAGTATAGGGATCCATTTATATAAAAGAATCATCATCATCTACCTTGAATACAGCTGAGAGACATATTAGCGCAGAATGACACTTCAACCAGTGACTTTGATTTAACTCTCTCCTTTCCTTTTCCCCACATGGTTTCCTACAGGACTCAACTCCTAGCTTTGATGATTCAGTAGATAAACTTTAAGTCACATTAACTGGACGAAATCCTTACTGAATTTTAATAAAGTTAATTGAATAAAAAGATCATTTTAATGAAACACATGGAATTCTTGACAAGTTACCTTAGGGCAGGATATAAGTGTCATGTAATGTGACTCGGGATATTTTGATCTTTCAAATATTACAAACTATTTGAAAGTCACTCACCAGTCTAGCAAATTGAGCTTGGTTAAATGGACTGATCATTCCCTTTAATGTCTCCCATCCCAAATGGGACAGGAAAGTAATTGGAAGAAACTTTAGGGAATGGAATCCTTTTTTGAGAAAATAATGTAAGCTCTTAAACCACCCTCGCTACAGTAAGAACTTCCTAAAAACTGACAGCCTAGAAGGAAGAAGCAATTTAGTTTCATTGATAGCTTTGCACCAGACTTTCCCTGAACGAAGAAAGAATTAGATGCTTTATGTCCATTTATATTATAAATTAGTAGCTAGTCATATTGCAACAAGACCATCATGAGTCAAATTAATGATTCAAGTTAAAGTCACCTTGGGGAAAACACAGATAGGAAGATAACTTCATTTAGCATCACTCTGTAGAAGAATCTGTTACCAGCAATGCTTCAAAATATATGTGGAAAACAATTTCCTTTTTCTTAAAAAGTTTTTATATATTTAGAGACGTGGAAAACACTGTAAATCCATAGTTTCTTTCTTGAATAAGTTTCCAGTGCAGAAATCATTTCTAATCAGTAAAGAGGCAAAAAAGTTTTATCCTGAGGAAGGCAGCTACTGTGAAGAAAAATCTTAGGAGCACGATACACTTGCTTACAGATTTAAATGGAAGTGTAATGTCAGTTTTCTTTCATGGTTACATCTTCATCCTTTAGAGCAAATTTTCTTCTTAACACTTCTGATATAAGAACAGCGGGGTCTTCCTCCTTCAGTAAAGTTCGGTTCCTGATGGAGGATACAAAATTAACATATTAATTTGGGTAGAGATTCTCCAAAGGCTGCAGAGGACACTGTCTCTGCTAGGCCCAAGCTTTAGGATTTTGTTTAAAAAAATTGTTTTATAAACCAAATTATGAGAAAATGGTGCATCTCTGAAACCCCCTTTTTATTTAAGCATCTCACCGCAGCACTGGGAACCCTGACAGTCTGTCAGAGTTGGGTAAAGTTCAAATCCTGAATAGAAGACAAAGCGAATAGTTCATTAAGGCTGAGATTTTGCAAGCTGCCTAGGAAATGTAGAGACAGAGTTCCCATTAATTTCAAGGGGAAATTGTGCGGTCTAAATGCCCCTAGTGGTGTAGAAAATCTCAGTCTACATTTCATTCCCCCACCCCCAAATTTTAAATCTGAAGTGTTAACAGGTCAGAAGAAATGTGCAAAATACAAGCTGTATGCAGGCTGCCCCCCTTCTTTATTAAAACCAAAAGACATTACTTTGAACTGAAATAGTAGAACTAATTATCTACGATGATGTTAATTGTGAAATGGGTACACTGCTCACTTGCATGTCTTTGTACAATAAAAACAGGATTCTTCTGCTTTACCTCCCCTTTTCTCACATAATCCAACAATAGTCTTGCATGACAGGTAAGCAGTGGGTCCTGCGTTTTATGAGCCCTAGTGATCAGTTTACTTTACAAAAAGGGAGCCTACTTCACAAGAAACCAAAAATGTATCAATTTTATTGGGTCATTCATGATACTTGAAAATAAGGATCCCATGATAACAGCCACTGATTTCAGAGTTTAATATTTTAGAGTAAAAAATTTCTTATAGGCTGGAAAACATTCCATGAGTTCTGAAATCTTTTAAAAGCCTCTAAGAGAGCTTATTATTTTTAACTAGATGAAAGCAAAAAATAAATTACGGTTTGCTGTATTTGTTTTAAACACCTGCAGCCACTTAATCTTGAATTTGCACTGAAAGCTTTTACTAGACCAAGTGATTAAATTTAAGAAGTTCACAAGTAACCCAAGGGGCAAGGCCTTAGCCCACAATTGTAATATATAGTTTAACTTCAGCTTTTAAATCATGACGGTAGATAGAAACACCCCACTGATTTCACCAGAATCAGGATCCCCTCTGATACGAGTGCAGAGACAGGGAGAAAGAACTACTGAAGCTGGGGAAGCTTTAGAGAATCCAAAATCATCCAGCGTTCCAAGAAACTGCTTCCAAAGGGCAATGGGTATAGGAGAGAAGCCAAGAGCAGATGCAGGAAGAGGCAAAGTGAGACTGCAGCAATAAAGACTGAAGTTGTACTGATCACAAGGAAGAAGCTCATCCCCACCATGGGTAGCTAAAAGCGGTGTGGTGGAAATCTATGAGAGGGAGAGAACAAGCCTCCTGCAACAGCGCACAACCAGCAGCTATTGTAGAAAACTGACACCCGGCAACTGGCAGCAGAGGGGGTACCTTCAACCAACATCAAGCAGCACTGCAATTAAATATCAGCATCTTGATTCTTTAGAAATTCTCACCAAAGAACAACAACAACCAGAGAAGTTCATGGACAAATTAATGCACAATTACACCTGAATTAGATCAGTCCCACCATCAGTACTTAAAAAAACGTACTCACATTCAAAGCAGATCCTCACGCTAAATGTTTTTAACCACACACCGAATGAACGGATCAGCTGGAACACTACACAGACCATTCCTTTCCAAAGGGCATCAGCTATTAAAAGGGCTCTATTCTGATTTTAATGGTGGAAACATGCAAATGTGTCTCATACTCATTCCTGAAGTTTCCAGGCTGTGGGTTTTAACACCAGTTCCTAAACAGGAGCATCAGAGAAGCATTGATTTAATCATCATTAGGTGTAAATGGCATCTCCACCCACAAAAATTAAAATGGTCATTTAACTCCCTTTTTACACATTCACTTTATACTGCTGGCTCTGGTACCATCGGGAAACTGGTCAGACGAGGGACAGACCCCAGGGAGGCTCAGTTCATGCTGCCTCATGATTCTTCTACATGATGCTGCTTCTACACCTGCTGGGATGTCCATATAATCACCACAATAACCTCAAAGAGATCAAGGACTCTATAATCAGATCTAAGCTGACTGAGATCATTTACTATAGGTGGCTATGGCAGGATATTTCACAACTCATTAATGTACATCAGCTGTGAAATAACAGATGTTCTAAGAATAACCCCACTAGATCTTTTCACATTCACTTGTTTTTGTTCACTAAACATTTTATGTGAAATACGGAACTGATGTCAGCAGGATAAGACACAGCAAAAGCCCAGCAATTCACCACAAAAAATCCAGGCTTCTAGGGTCTTGTTGCTTTCTAGGCACACAATAACTAAGTGTTGTATTCAGCTGGTCAGGGAGGTACAAGCTGCTCACCCCCACAGCATATTAGGGAGTCCCAACCAACTCTCAACAGATATATGGCATGTCACCATGGTATGAGGCCGGCGTGTAGGGCAATCGTCAATTTGTGCTGGTCAAACAACAAAGACAATTGTTCACCAGTTAATTGCTAAGTCACAAGGAATACATTATTCACGGCTATTCACCCAGCTCTCATTCATCTCCAAGTGCTTGTACTGTACATTGGAGGCAAGGCAATAGGAAGCAATATATGGTCTGAAGCTATGGTTATAGATTTGGTCATACAGCGTAAGAGGAAGCATTAGGGAAAACACACATCACCACAACCTTTCCACAAATGAATGCCGTTATCTTTCGGTAAATCCACCGGAGACATGGCAATTCATGTTATTGCTACCACAGTATTTGCCTAGGATCTGGGCCATTCATTCTGAACACCAATTTAATCAGGAAAAAAAATAGAGCTATCAGAAACAGACTAAAATAAATTTGCATACAATGTGATTCAGCTCCTGTTAATCAGGCGAGCAGTTATTCCCTGTGGGAAACGGGCCTTGGCTGAACAGAAAAGCAGGGCTCTCTGCCCGTCCAGTCCCAGTGGGATAGAATTTGTTAGATATCCTCATACAAGACATTTGCATTCTACTTTACAGACGTCTGTGCTAATAGTTACTGGTAATAGCTCCCCTTCACGGAATAAGGCCATTGGAACATAGCTACCTGGAGAAGGACTAGCCCCTTCTTTGGATAAAGGCATAAACCATCAGATACATGCCTGGTCTACAATTAAAAATTAGATCTATCTAGTTAAGTTGCTCAGGGCTTTGAAGAATGTTGTGGCATGGTGAACTCAATCTACCCCAGTGTAGAGGCAGCTAGCTGGGTGGAAGAATTCTTCCGACCTAGTTACCACCTCTAGGAGAGGTGGACTAACTACAGCGACAGAAAATCCCCTTCCGGCGACACAGGAAGGGTCTATATTAGGGTGCTACAGCAGCACAATCGGAGCAGTCCATGCATACCACCCGCAGTCCCTAAAATTATACTGGTCCCATTCTCTTGCTCCTGCATCTGAGCGACTTCCAGTGAAGTCAATGGGAACTGCTGATAAATAAGCAGCAAGAAAATTGGGGCTCTTCTCTCTATGCCACCCTCAGTTCTGCATAGCTGTGTGTTACCATTCCCATGGCTCAGACTACCTTCCCCCCACCTACAAGAGCCTAATCCTGGGGACTGAGACTCACCTACTGCTCAGGTGTCTGTATACTGACTTCCTGGGGAATCATGCAATTCCATCTCATTTGGGGAAACAGAATGACTGGGACAGAGGAGGATACTACCCTGAAAGTCAAACACACACCTTGTATAGAACTATCTGCATAACCAGCCGCATATATGTCAACACCATCAAATCTTAAAGTGAAAGGACTTGTCCGGCACAGCATCTGAAATGCCCTGAGGATTCACACTAGAGCCCTTCCTGCACAATGGGGGTGTATATTTGCTGGAAGAGTTAAAGTCTGCAATTGCCTTCAAATCCTCGGGTCACAGACGGGCACAGTTTCACCTAGACTGTTCTCAGTGGCCGTGCTCCGTTCCTGCTGATCCTAGGGAGAGGTCGTGTCTAACATTCTCTCCCCCTACCCTCCAGCCCAATATTCACCCCAGTGGCAATCTTCTCCTTGTGTCTGAGCCATAACTCATGTTATTTCCTTCTCCTATTCGGCTGGTTCAGGAACAAGATATAAACATTCCACGAACCGTCCTTTTCATTCAGCATTAGTTATCCCTATGCATTTTGGCCAGGGAGGCATAAAGTCAAAATATGAGCACTTGTACCATAAGGCCCCGACCCCATCCATGACAAGGCTTTAGGAGGACTTCAGCTACGTCTGTTGAAGGCACTGTGGCGCTCCATATCTAATCCATGCAGGAGCGTACACAAGATGACTGAACAGACATGGGGATAATATTGCGACCTGCATTCTCACGCTAACCAAGCTGCTCAACCAAGTGTATCCACTAGTTCAAGAGTCATTTTAAGAATAAGCCTAAGAAAGTCACCATGCTTGTTCCTAAAACTCTTCACGAACTTGCTCCAGGTCCCCCTCAAAGACCTTGTGAAATGCCTCCGCACCAATCCCTCTTCATCAAGCACCTTCCCAATGAACCTGGGAGAGCCGCCTTCTCTGCAGCTTCTGACACATGGAATGAGCTTCCTGAATCTCCCAGCTGAAAAAAATTATTATTGCAGGTCTTTCCCTAATCAGCATTGTTCTGCATAGTGCACGATTCCCAGGCCCAATATGCCCCAGGTGATTGGCAATTTCCCCTCACCCAAGAGGGGAGCCTCCAGGGGAAGTTTACTTTATGTATTTGAAAATGAATTTACGCAATTAGGGTTAAATATTGTGTCGCACAAGTGTAACAAATGCTTGTAGGCACTTTAGCTACGTTTTAGCCCATTTCTGATGGGAGTTCAAATTTAACATTCTGAAGAAAGTCTGGCTTTCTATCAGCAAAAGAAGATGATTCACATTTCCCAAATACGACATCGCAGACGAAATTACCTAATGCCTGACAACGGAAATTGATGCAACCCTGCTAAATCCTGCAAAACGACAAGTACCTTTTTTTTTTTTTTTGGGCAAATTACATCTCCTTTGACTGTGATAAATCAAAATTGCAAAGGATGCCAAAAAAAAGCTCCTTTGGACGGGCAGGAAAAAACTTCAATCTGCAATTCAAAAGAGGATACATATCCAGTGTGTATTCATGAGCGGGAGAAATTCATTTAAGTTTGACTCCTACTCCAGCCTCCAGAAAGATTAATGACAAGAATTATAATGGAGGAGGGATATATTTCCACTTCTGAATAATATTTCTTTGGAAAATTTGAGAGCAATGATACTTCAGGTGCAGGCTGAGCTGTACAGAGTATATTTCAGTGTTTTATTTTTTGGTATACTTTTGTTTGGTGCCAGACACTCTCTCTTTAATTGGATTAGGCATAACATTCATAAGGAGCATAATGATGATTCAAAATGTTCTTTATTCTGATATTGAATAGGGCTCCCCACAATACCACAGAAGTGGCCACATGGATTTTGGGGTGCGCTGGTGAAAGGGCTGAGCTTCGTCAGTCTAATTCCATGTTGTCCATGTGAAACAAGGACAGTACAAAGGCCAGCTGAGATATTAGAGAAGGTATTTCTTCATTGGGAGGGTCCTGTCCCCGACAATGCATAGGTAAGCATGTCAATGACTTGGCGTTCCCAGGTTACAAGACAACAGTACGATAAATCTGCTTTCAGGACAGCACTTATGAGGAAAAAGGCATGAGGTGGGCGGTTTGCCTAATCAGACATTGCATGGAACGCACACAGAGCTTAGAGGTGAGGGGTGTGCAGATATCTGACAATAGTAAGGCAGCGTCTCAGAGGGCTTCACACATGAAGAGTCGCAGCATGGAGGTCTCCTCTCCCCACACATTTTGTTAAACAATAAAAAAAGCAAGATGATTTTTGGCGTGGATGGGTCGAAGCAGCGTGCTAGCAGACTTGCACTACTTCCCCCCTCTCTCCAGTGTTTTCTACCCTTAAATTCAAAGGCTTGGCTTGGCTCAAAGGGAATCATTTTGGAGGCAAATAAAACATCTAGAAATAGCAGCAGTTCTAATGTACAACAAATATTTCCTTGTAAAGCTTGATTATAGCACGAAGGACCAGCAGATAAACACAATATTCCGTGCGTCTACAATGCTTTGAAACAAAAACAAAAACAAACAAAAAAAAAGAGGACAGGAACATTCATTCAGAAAATAAAAGAGGTTCAGGAGAGACTTACAAATCTTTGTTCTGTTTCATCCTATGAATGTCTTTAAGGATGCCCATCATGTCTGCAAAACTGCTGGCCTTCGAAAGAGAGACAGAATCTTCCTCGTCAACATCCTTTGGTTCTGGTTTACAACATTCAGAGGTTGCAGAACAAAGCACGGAAACTGATGGAAGCTCCGGAATTTCTAATTCTGCCTCCTCTGTGATATCACTAATGACAAAGGAAGTTGTAGATTGGAATGAGGATCCAAAACAAGGTAAGGGAGAAGATACATTTGAACTTCCTGGAGATAATAAATCTGGCGTTAATGAAGCGGAAGCTGAAAAAGAAAACAATAAACGTGGATACGTAAACTAGTGCCAAATCACCTTATTTTTCTAAGCAGTAAAATATAAATCAAGCTCAGATCTTGGCCAACCTCCCCCAGGTGATGCAAAAACAAACATGGCCCAGGGCTTTCCCTTTTACCCTCCACATGCCCACTGCTTCCTACAGCCCTCCCGCCCCTCCAGCGCTCATCCCCACTGCCTCTTATACCATGCTTCTGTCTACAAATCTGGGTCCACATACAGCCTCCATTACTATATTACCATGCATCTTGCAAAGATGGACTTTATCTTCACAAGCCCCCTGGGAGCCAGAAAAGCATTATTCCCATTTTACAGGTGGGAACCCACGCACAGAGATTAAGTTACATAGTTAAGGACAAACAAAATATCTGTGAAATCTGGGAACAGAACAAAGGTCTCCTGGGTCCCAGTCGAATTCCTTAAGCAGAAGGCCATTCTTCCTCTTCCAATCCAGGGTCTTCCTCCTACAGCACCATCCCAGGCCTTTAACCAGGGCTGTCCCCCTTACACAATGCCTCTACCAAGTCGTTCCTTTCCATTTTGTTCTGAAAACCATTACACATGGATCTCAGGCATTTCTACACATGACAGTACGAACACACGACTGGGAACTAGGCACTCCTGCATTTTAAATATTGACTCTGATATGAATGCCTTTTGGGACCTTGGATTTTTCCCTAATTTATTTAACATTAGAGTACACGCATCTTCTAGAAGGGCCTTTTCTATGTCAGAAAGGAAGTTACAGAACTACACAGACTCGCTTTCAGTTTCCAGCGACCAGAGTCATTTTGTTGATGTAGATAAAGCCAGTTGCACAGTACCTATTACTTTCCACCAACACCTCCAAAAGGAGATTGAGAACAGTAGTTAGCACTTGGATTATCAGATTACTTGGCTGCAACTATTTTCTCAATTATAATTCCAAAGTACTGAAATCAAAATATGCTGTAGACTTTGCAAAAAGCCCTTATAAGCGAGCTGACAAACCTGGTCACATTGCCAGGGAAGGAGCAGGGAGGGAGAAACACATGATCAGTGTTTCCCATGTAGACCTCTTATTTGCTCAGTCATCATCTTCCTCTAATTAAGGGGAGTTGAACAGTTTAGTTGACTGATCCGACATCTTGCTCTCAAGACATTTTCTCCAGTCTGTGTTTCTAATTCGATTGCTCCTCTTGGATCTTACATGGAGGAGGAAGAATGAGCGTAACAGCCTTTCCAAAGAGGGTACATGCTTCACTTTCACGGTCTCCCCCACCCCTGGAGAGTTCTTTCAGCCTTTTAGTGTGTATGTTCTGTGATACCTTATGGTTTAATAGACAACAAGATGCAAATATACTTCCTTTAAACTACCTGACCTCTGCACAGTACATTCTGTGTTAAATTACGGATTGTTTTCCATACAGATCAGCTAATGCCTTTCCCCCTTCATCTGTGCTTTGTCTTTTTCTAAGAGTACAAATGCACCAGAGATCAGGAAAAAAGTAATTATTGTTCTACATATGCAACCTAAATATGACCACAAAGTATCTTGGAAGAGTTTGGAAAAATTCTTAATTTTCTGTGATATAGTATCACACCCATATCAGAGTGTGTCTGCCTCTAAGAAAGAATGCACCATGCCCTATCCAAAGACATGGAAAATACTCTAGTTTCCTAGCAAAATAACCAGGAAGAACAATTCCTACATGCATGAAATCACTGAGTGAATCTTTTTGGAAAATGACGATTGGACCAGGGTAGGCAGTTACACAAAAATATACTATCACCTGGCATAGGGAGAGGGTGGGGATGAGACAAGGCTCATGTGGTTTGAGCAAGAGCCATAATTATTCTATCACTAAACCCCCATTTTACTACTGAACTTGGAAGCGTTAAAGCTGTTCCTGACGCCGTACGGCTTAAGGAGAATGAAAGGTACCAACAGCTGATTAAGAGGCAGTGTACACTGACATTTTAAGGGTCAAATTCTGCCTTCAGTTACTTTTGAGGCAGCATGTCCACTGCTTAGAATACAAGCCTGGGAATCAAGAATCTGACGTTCTAAAGGCAGCTTTTTCACTCTCATCTGGTGTAGTCTTGTCCCAGAGAACCTCTCTGCCTCAGTTTCCACATCTGAAAAAAACAAACTCACACAAGCTCTCCCCTAGGCATTCTGTGCATGTAACTGTGACCCATGAACTTGTGGCCAAATTCTGTCCTGAGTGGATTATCGATACACTAGATGGCCAACTTTGTACCGCATCTCATTTAAAAATTAATTGTGATCTAGACAAAAACAGCCTATGTATTCCAAGTGGGCATCTCATATATTAAAGATGGATAAAATAAGTTAAAATGGGCTGAACCGAATACATAAGATTCATGTCTGAAATGCAGAGGCCAACATTCAAACTAAATCCAGTATCATCTGAGGATGTAATGAGTAAGTGTCTCCCCTTGTAACAGGACTAACTATAAGCAATTGCTTATATTGTTTATAAGGTTGTAAGTTCGTCACAGCTATGACTTTGGACAGATCCTAGGACAAGGTATTTTTCATAGAAGGGTCACCCTACTCAACTGTCTCCTTCTCCCTGATGGATTAGATTTGGTTCTGTAGTCGAGTAGGGAAGAGTGCCCTGGGTTTTAAATTAAAAAAAACAAAACAAGCAAAACTATATTTAATTGCAGAATAAAGGATATTTCACTTACACAATTTCCCATGACAAACAGCAGTATTTAAGATAGTGTCATGACATCATAGAATCAGAATCTCAGGATTGGAAGGGACCTCAAGAGGTCATATAGTCCAACCCCCTGCTCAAAGCTCACTGCATTTTATTTAAAAATGGAAAAGGCTTTCGCATTTTTTGCCATAACAAAGTTACAATTTCCCCCCTTTTATGTCATTGTCAGAAAGGCAAATTATAACCACTGCCTTTGTACCTTGGTTGTACACCAACAGTTCAAGTACACTGCACACAAATAATAGATGCAGCTTCCTACAAGAGAAGCTGTTTTGGAGAAGGTTCAAGTTCCAGGAATGTGCCAAGTTGCTACTTTTAAAAGGTTTTAAAGTTGTAAGATTGACAAGGCCTCAAGGGTACTTCTGGTCTTGCACGGCTCTGAGACTGGTCAGCAGTACGAACAAGCATGTGATGCCACTGTGTACTTCGAGGTTTCACCAAAAATAGCATCCTGTTTATTTCCAGAGCCACCCAGCGGAAGCTAGACCATAAGAGCAAACTGAAGGATGGAATTTCCCCTTTCACATTAAATTTACTTGCATTTTTTTAGCTTAAAACACAACTAAAATCAGTGTGTTTATGACAGGCAGCAGTCAACCAACTAGAATTAATTCAAGATGATGTTGTGCACATGGTCAGACTAGATGATCACAATGATCCCTTCTGGCTTTATAATCTGAACTCCAGATGGCCTCTTCTCAAAAAGCTTAACTGGCCCGAGAACAATTAGTACTCATCTCTGGTCACGAAAAACCAGAACATTTACATCACACTCCCAAAGAGAGAGGAAAACAACCCTTTTTAGACATCAACAACAGGCCTGGGGGCAAGAATGACAAGACTAAATCCCCAACCTTTTCATTCAATGGAAGTCGCTCAGTCTGGAAACTAAAACACCCTCTACCTCTCTCTCTCCAGTACAGTTACGGTTGATTTTGGTAGTACTAATTAGAATAATAGAATATCAGGGTTGGAAGGGACCTCAGGAGGTCATCTAGTCCAACCCCCTGCTCAAAGCAGGACCAATCCCCAATTTTTGCCCCCGATCCCTAAATGACCCCCTCAAGGATTGAACTCAACACTGGGTTTAGCAGGCCAATGCTCAAACCACTGAGCTATCCCTCCCCTGTAAATATTAAACGTATTAAACAAATGCCAATACATACAAACAGTTCCATTCGTTCTACTGACATCATAGAGGACATTGCACAAACAAGGGGAAGGAAGAAACGTAGAATTCACAATGGCTGACTACAACTCTAGCCGTTTATGTCATTCATGTTCACTACATGGATGCTGGAAATGGTTGTATTCCATTTAATCCACTGCCAGCTCTTAGGAAGCAATAGGATCAGCATGGTTGTCATCTCCCCACTAGTCAAACTCCTACGATGCTCCACTCAGCTGTAGTTGTAACAATGAGCTGTTTGGACAGCTTTGGCTATGCATACCACTACAAACATATATTGTATTAGATCGCTAAGTCACATGCTAGAGATAGGGGTACAAAGACGACAAAATATCTATTGTCTTGCATTTGTATGCAAAAAGCCAGAATACTGGCAATGTTTTGATATAGTATCTGACCAGTACTCACTGCGTTTTATCGTGGAATCATCACGGTTCACTGTCTCAAGCCTTTTATTGTTAGAAAAGAAGACTTATGTTCCTACCTGGATCTGCAGCTACAATTTTAGCTATTTGACTCCGCAGGTGACTCAGCTCATCTTGAAGCTCTGTCGTCCGACTGAGGGCCGGTAAACCAGGTTTCTTCAAGACCAGCAGCTTCTCTTCCTGCTTTCTCAAGTTGGGGACTGAAGCATTTCGCTGTATAACAAAGAATGGGCTGGGCTTCCACTTGTGCTTTAATGGGCGAGTGTCACTCCTAAGAAGAACAGCACAAAAGCCCATCAATCACACAAATGGAACAGACCCCACTCAAGCAATAATGTTTTGTATTTCTACAGCCTTCCACCCAAGAACTACAAAGCATTTTACAAACAATACATCAGGATACTCGTGGCAGGTAGATATTATCCTTGTTCTATAAAGGAGGAAAATGAGGCACAGAAACTACACAAAAACTGCTGCCCAACACAGGAAGTCTGTGGCAGATGCAGGAACAAAAAAAGCAAGCCTCCAAACTTTCAGTCTAGAGCCTTAACCAGGAGGGGGACGGATAGCTCAGTGGTTTGAGCATTGGCCTGCTAAACCCAGGGTTGTGAGTTCTACCCTTGAGGGGGCCATTTAGGGATCTGGGACAAAAACTGGGAATTGGCCCTGCTTTGAGCAGGGGGTTGGACTATATGATCTCCTGGGGTCCCTTCCAACCCTGATATTCTATGATTCTATATTCCTCTCTTCTGGCTGGTTTACATTTCTGTACAATGGAGTGGCATTTGATAGTGTATGCAAATGGGGGCGTCACCTGTTCCCATTTCACAGTTTCTCGAACTGCAAAAGGCCTACATTTTATTTTTCACAAGACATTAATATTAATGTGGCCTTCCCTAGAACTTCAAAAAGTGAAATGGATAGAAGTGGACTCCCTGGACCACTAGGTGTGAATCCCAGAAGGGATATGACAGCCCTTCATCCTTCCGAAGTAGATACCCTGAGCACCATGTAGTTTATTAGGTGGAGGTCTTTCAGTTACGATCTTAAAAGCGAAGAGCCCAGCCACTCTAGTTGAATGTTAAGTATCCCCTAGCACTTTCTGTAAGAGTTTGCCCTTGTGTCCTTGGCCAAAATTTCTCATCCCCTCCTCTCTGTGGAACAATTTTCAAAGAAAAAAATAAATCAACGAGTTGTTCTGGTCAGATGCCTAAGTGACGAGAAATTTTGAGCATTTGATCAGTTACTGTTTTATCTTTCATAAAACACCCAGGAAGAATGGAAGAACGGAAAGATATGGGGAGAGAAAGAAAGTAAAAAATACCTGACTCTAGCATAGGTTTCTCCTTCATCTGCTGCTATCCATGCAATATCTGCCAGAGTGGGGACTGGAGGTCCATCGTTTAGATACAGATCTGAAATGTTTGGTAGAACCTAGGAAGAACATAGTGACATTATAATAAACATAATGGTTTTGTTCTGTTTAATGTGTTTGGTACAATTTAAAGATGATGAAGCCTTCTCTGCATCAGATTCATAGCTGAGCCTTTGCTGTACAAAGCCAGCATAGATGGATTCAGATAAACACACCCAGCGTTTCATGTACTGGTTTATGAAACTGTCCTCTTAGCTTTTTTGATGTGTATCATAAAACTGGAAAATGAGCCTGCAAAAATGTACTCACTATTGCCTTAAATACAGCCAAAAAAGGAAAAAAATTGGCATCCACACGAACGCCACTTTTCAGCTACAAAGCAATACCATTATTGAGCTAACTCTCAAACACCCAATGAAGTAGGCATGTATCATGAGCCTCATGTTATGGTTTGGGAAACAGAGGCACAGAGAGGTTAAGTGACTTGCCCAAGGTCACACACTCAGTTAGTGGCTCAGCTGGGAATAGGATCCAAAAGTTTGGACTCAGTCCCCTCTGATCATTAGCTCACGCTCCTTCCCGTTTGTAGGCATGATTGTATAGAACGTGTTGTTCCCAGATTGCCACTGATCATTTCAGGGATTTACAAAACTAGGAAGAGTTAAAATTGTTAAAACTGATAATTTATACAACCCTATTGACTGCATGTGGTGCATTTCCAATTTCAAAAATACTTTACTTTGCTATGGGAAGGAATGGCAAATCAGAATTATTTCTGTTGCTAAAGAACTGCAGAGTCCTGTATATATTTCCAGAATCTCTCATGCATTCCCTTACCTCAAAAGATGCTCTAGGACAGGGTTTTAAAGGAAGATTTGTCCCAATCCTCCTGACAACACTACGTGATGAGCCACAGGGCTTGTTCTGCCAAATTGGGATAGTCTGAGAATCAAGACAATATTTTATAATATATTTCAAAAAATAAAGAACAGATTTTAAAAAGGCAATTTCTGAAAGTATCAAAAGCCACCATATAAACTAAATTCAAACCTACGGCACCTCTTTTAGCCATTTTTAAAAGAATAAAAAGTTAACAAGAGTACCAACAAGTACCAATATTTATTTTCAAATTAGGATCTTCTTTCTACAAAACCATAAAAGCCAATGAAAGAAAGTGAGGTGCCTAACTGGTATTTGCGCCTTTGAAAATCACCTCCTTAGTCAGTTTCATGTCTGTTTATAGTCATCTTCTAGACTTTGGCAAACTCTGGAGGTAAATGTTTAAATCCAAACAAGTTTATTATTTTTCAATTCATGCAAAAACCTCTATTAATAGTTGGTTGATACAAAAATGTTTTAAGACACCCAAAGTCTGTATTTTGGACCTAAGCTACCCGATAGTGCTGGTTTTAAATTGTTTACCCGTATATTAAATAATAAATTGAGTCACCAGGCTATAAATGCACCAATTCCTATAATATAGATTTGAAAGCCAAAGCAACACTTGATTTATGGTATACCAAGAAGTTCCTTAATGTATTTGTAATCTCACAATTCAAACAGAATAGCTAAATTTTATATATAATAAAACCCAATAGATTGTGAGTATATGAAGTGACAGTCCATTCTTGCAGCTCTTAAACAAGCAATAAAGGTTGAGGTACTGGGAAGAGAGATGACAAATGAGACGGTCTCTCTCATGATGTGTTCTGCAGAATGAGTTTTGGGATCCCCTGGCTCTGCATAATTAAGTATTTTTCAAAGAAATGTTGTACTTACTGATTCTGTTTCCATCTCAGGCCGTAGAGAAGGTTCCCAAACTGGATGATCAATTAAATCAGAGATGAAAATTGCAGTGCCAAGAAACATAAGGCAGCTTCATATTATTTCACCTTGAAAAACACAGATTTTCTCACTAAAAAAACAACACCCCACAATGAGCCTAGATGTGGACAAGTTCTGCATTTGTGTATTTAACATTAATATCGAAGTCAACTTTACAAAGAGCCCTATGTTTATCAGAAGGGTAGTTAACGTGGCCCTTTTCTGGGCATCAGTGGTTTTAAGATAGGCCCCTAAGGCCAAGGAATTCTGCCACCCTAACAGCTGAGGTGAATATCAAGTGGGATGTTGTCCTTCTGAACTCACAGTACTTCTGGACCTTGAATAGAGGTAACCAGGCAGCCTTCCTCAAAAAGCAGTTTTAATCCCAGCTGAAAAATACTGTACAAAATGAACTAAGGAGAGTGTGTGATCACATGGTTCAAGAGCCAGACTGGATGCTAGGACTCCTGGGTTCTACTCTTAGCTCTGCCATGAAGTTACCATGGTGACTGGCAGTTTCTCCCTCTTAGCCATGGCACTTGCCTCCCAAATGAGGATAGTGGGTAAGTTGAGGCATCTCTTATTTGAGCTCCTTAGAGGTAGGTACCAACGAGGCAGGTTTTCAGGCAGATAAAGGGGACAGGAAATGTGTTTAGCAAGGTTTTGTAAAGACAGGCCTCTCACATCTAAACTCACACTCCCCAGGAAGGAGGAAAGAACAAAGGCAGAAAAATCACACACACGCCCCCAACCCACAGGAGCAGTTAGAGGGGAGCTCCTCACCTGCTAGTAGTGAAAAGGAACTGCCAGTTGGAGGCAGTTGAACACTGTACTACTCCCAGCACAGGATCAGAACATTCCACTTACTGGTAGGGGAACCGGAGGGGGAGGGTACGACACCATCCAAAAACATTAAGCTTTGGCGGTTCCATCTGGCCTTGAGGATGCTTGAGACCCATGAAAGAGAATCGTCTACTGATGGGCACAGAGGAGAATAATTAGGTTTTGTTTTGGTTTTTTTTTGGGGGGGGGGGGGGTCCTGTTTTGTCAACTTTGTACCTTTGACAGGATTTTTGTTCCCCTGGTTAGTTCCGGATGGGAGTTTGGGGGCGGGGGGGGAGAGAATCTCTCACAAAACAGAGAGAAGGGTATTTAAAACTAGTAAAATGTGATTAAAAACCCATAGAGATTGGCTGGGGGGGAAGGGGGGCTCAGCAGTAGGTGTATACTTGGAAATACATCTAACTCAGGGTTTTGAAGTTGACTACCTTTCAGCTGATGGTGTCCCTTTAAGCTCCTTATTTTCAACATGCCTTGGGTGTTTTAACAAGCACCAGCGAAACAACGGAGAAAGTCTCATGCTGACAAAGGTCAGCAGCAAGAAGCTGCTGCTCTGACTGCCAAGATCCAAAGAGAAGCCAAAAAAGGCATTTAAAATAATATGTCTCCCTAACGTAAGCAGGCCTCTCGAGATTTAGCAGTTAGTTGTCTGAAAGGAATTTTTTTCCCCCCGGCTCATTTCCTCTCCTTGATTTCTCATGGGAGAGGGTTAATTTGCCGTAGTTCACTTTCATCCCTTGCAGTAACATTAGTACTATATGAATTACGTGGAGAACTTCATGAAGCAAGCAACTGTCTCTAATGAGATCTGCAGTCACCATAGCATCCAGGTGCCTTCATATACAAATACAAGTTCACCTCAGGTTTGCTGTGATAAAATCACCACCTTTTTTCAGCAGTGACTACCACTAAATTGGTGGCTCAAGAGCAACAAGTGTGGCAAAGGACAAATAAACATCAGCCATGTAGAGAAAACAAGACATGACAGCCCTCCTCCATACTGAGCCAAGGTCAGCTAAGTGACATATGCTAACAGTATCACAGCTCAGTCAACCAAAAATAACTACGCATGACAGAGAGGGGCACTGCCAAAGTGTTCTTCAGCCTGCAGCATGCACAGAACCACCATTAACTGTCCCCTGGCTCATGTCATTTACACAAGAGTACAAACATTGGTGTACCCAGGAGCCCGCAGCGTAATCAATGGGGGAGAAGCCAAAGAGGAATTGACAACAACTGCACTATGGAGTATGGTTGTATTGCTCCAGGATAAGCTCAGCTGCTTCCACTATTAATGAGAAACCTCCCATGTTTCAAGAGACAAACCACTCAAGCTTCACTCTTGAGTTACAGTGATACAAGAAAGGGAGGACTTGTGGCACCTTAGAGACTAACAAATTTCTTTGAGCATAAGCTTTCGTGAGCTACACTTCATCGGATGCATGCAGTGGAAAATACAAGAAACTCAATATGCCCATTAGAGAAAGCCAGGCTCATCTGTTTTCCTAGCCTTGTCCCAAGTGGGGCTAGGGACCTTTTTGGTTTGAGTGGGGAGCTTTATTTTAATAGTACTCATTTAAAAAAAAACATTTAATGATGATGACACAGTGCATTTTACTGTTCGGGCCCCTGAGGAAGCGATATGAAAATTAGACATGCATGCTCCAGTTGCCTGTTGTGTTAGGGAGAGAATTGGAGACTATTAGTGTTGCAGCTTTAATTCCAACTAAAAAAGACTGGACAAGATGAACTCGGGAGGGAGTGTGGTGAAGTGGTTCAGTGTCAAATCAGGAGCCAGGACTCCTGGATTCTAGTCCTGGTTCTGGGAGGGAATGTGGCCTAGTGGTTAGAGCAGGAGCCTCAGTTCTATTCCTGGCTTGTCAACCGTTACTGCTGATTATCAGGTTTCAGAGTAACAGCCGTGTTAGTCTGTATTCGCAAAAAGAAAAGGAGTACTTGTGGCACCTTAGAGACTAACCATATCGTATGCATCTGATGAAGTGAGCTGTAGCTCACGAAAGCTCATGCTCAAATAAATTGGTTAGTCTCTAAGGTGCCACAAGTCCTCCTTTTCTTTTTGCTGATTATCAGCTTCACCTCGCAGTGCCTCAGCTTCCCCATATGTAAAGTGTGTGTGTGAGAGAGAGAGAGACAGACAGTGACCTGCTTCTGAGTAGACCTCCCTGCTGTTTAAAACCCAGCAAGGGCAGCACTAGAGAAGGAAAGGTTTGCAGAACGATCAAGCTGGGGGTGTTGTTAGCGAGGTCCTGTATTCACACCCTCCTCCCCCCCAGTCCAGGCCTGGGACTCTCAGTCTCTCACCCACTTTACCGATAAACCCAGAGTGGCAGAGGCAATACCTGAGAGTAAAACACCTCCCGCTTCGTACATAACTCAGTCAGGCGGCTCCCAACGGCCCCCCGACTCCCCCGCCCTGCGCGCCCCCCTCGCCCCCTCCCCTCGGCCCCCGACTCCCCCGCCCTGCGCGCCCCCCTCGCCCCCTCCCCTCGGCCCCCGACTCCCCCGCCCTGCGCGCCCCCCCCCCCTCCCCCCCCCCCCCCTGCGCGCCCCCCTCGCCCCCTCCCCTCGGCCCCCGACTCCCCCGCCCTGCGCGCCCCCCAACGGCCCAACTCCCCCGCCCTGCGCGCCCCCCTCGCCCCCTCCCCTCGGCCCCCGACTCCCCCGCCCTGCGCGCCCCCTCCCCTCGCAATCGCCCCCGACTCCCCCCCACTTCACCTTACCTGCCGCAAACCCCTCCTGCACCTCCACCGCAGCCACCCCTCCCCCTGAAATTCTCTCCACGGAGGAACCCGCCGGTACCGGCACCGCCTCCTCTTCTTCCCGTCTCACCTCCGCTTCCGGTCAGCCATCAGGCCCTGACCCGGAAGTAGAAGGCGATAACCGACTCAGGCAGCTGTCACGACATACTTCCGATAGCTCCTCAGCCCCCCGCTATGCGCCTGCGCAGTATCGCGTCCCTCCGGCTTAGCTCGCGCATGGCGCCTCCGCCGCCCCGGTTACTGCTGGGGAGCGAGAGAGCGAGCGACTCCGCCCCCTCCCGTGAGCCACCGCGCAGTGCCAGGGTCGCACGGGCCCTCCCGTGCGTGGTGACGTCACATCCAGACGTGCCGTGGCGCTGTTGGGCTGACTCCGCCCCTGGGGGCGAGAGGCGTGAAGGGAGGGAGGGGCCCTAGCAACGGGGACGGGGGAGGCAGAGACAAGAGGGGCCCCCCCAGCGACCCCCCCCGTCCTCCTTGGAGCAGAGACACAGGGGCCCTGGGGAGAGGGGGGCTAACTTCCTAATCACACAAAACCAAACACCCCTGCCCCGCCCCTTCTCTGCAGCCACGCCCACGCCCCGCCCCTTTCTAAGGCCCCGCCCCCCGCTCGGTCCATCCACCACTCACTGTTTGCCACTTTCACTGGGCTGGAGCGGGGGTGCGGGAGGGGGGTCAGGGCTGGGGATGAGGGGTTCAGGGTGCAGGAGGGGGCTCCAGGCTGGGGAAGATTCCAGCTGAGGGTGCGGGCTCTGGGGTGGGACTAGGGATGAGGGGCTTGAGGTGCAAGAGGGGGTGCTGGGCTGGACCGGGGGTGGGGGCCCGGTGGCACCACATCTCCAGGGAAGTAGCCCCCACGTCCCTGTGGCCTCTAGATGCATGGGCAGCCGGGCAGCTCTGCACCTTCGTGCCTGCAGACACCACCCCCCACAGTTCCCATGGGTCACAGTTCCCAGCCAATGGGAGCTGTGGAGCTGGTACTTGGGGTAGGGACAGCACGTGGAGCCTCCCAGTCCCTGGCCGCCCCAGCACTGAGGGGCCGCAGGGACCTGGCGCCTGCGTCCAGGAGCCCAGAACAGGTAGGGAGCCTGCCTTAGACCCGGGCCCCTGCTGCACCGCCAACCGGACTTTGGACAGCCCGGTTGGCAGTACTGACCAGAGCCATCAGGGTCCCTTTTCAACCAGGTGTTCCAGTCAAAAACTGGACACCTGGCAACCCTACCCCAGGAAGCCCCCTTCACCCCATGCGGGGGTGCAGAGACATGGGGAGAGGCGCAGGGAACCCCCATTATCTTATAGGAGGGCAGAGACACAGGGCCATCCCTATGAATCCCTCCTGTAGAGCCAGTCAAAAAAATCAGAATTTCTGTCCTCTTGGCAATTCCCCAATTTTCAGGCACTTTCAGAACAAAACAGGACAGTTCCAAAGAAATCAAACCATTTTGGTTCAA